AATTGCTCCCCGGGCAAAAATGTGAAAAAGCCGTGGGTTTAAAGTGTAATGTAAGTCGCTTTGGATAAAAGCGTCTGCTAAATGTAACGTAATGTACTAGAGTACTGCATTACGTACTTGTTTATTTTCATCCAGTTTCCTGCTAATTCTCTCTACTACGTTTTTACATTTATGAAAAACACACCATTTACACAAAGTATTCCAGATCAGCTCCACATTAATGAAGAATCACATTGAAATGTTCTTATTTGTACGTGTTGGTGATAAAAAACAAATAATATTATACACTATAAACACTGTTTAAGAAACCATTTTGAAATATACGGTTTGCTTTCCCCGCATGCCTCAGCAGTGAGAGAAGAATAGAAAACAGGTTGGATGAATTCAAATGACCACAGCCAATCAAAACATCTAGAATTATTAAAGGTAACCAACATTGATGTGAAAGTTATAATATTTTTGCTTGAGGTATTCCTTTAACTAACTCAGACTAAATTGTAATAGAGTATTTTTATAGACTGTAATTTGTTAAGATCTCCAAATAAGATCTTCATATCTTCAGTGTGACCGAAGTGGAATAAAACTGAGAGAAAGAGAGAGAGAGAGAGAGAAAGAGAGAGAGAGAGAGAGAGAGAGTTGTCCTATGCAGGCCAGGACAGCTGACAGCTGGGTTCAGCAGGGGTCAGAGGTCACGGATTGGCAGCAGTGGGGGAGTGAAGTGGAATCTATAACAACAGGAAGACGCGCACACACACACACACACACACACACACAAACACACACAGACATTTCCGGGAGAGGTGGCGAGAAAAAGGCCTCCGGATCTCTCGTGTGACAAACAGTTGACTAAAACTTCATCAGTGTGGTGTCAACGCTTCCTCCCACATATCTGTTGCATGAGCTTTCACTGTGTGTGTGTGCGTGGGTGTGTGTGGGTGTGCGTGTGCTCTCTCACGTAGTACTATTCTCACGAGCACCAGCTTCAGACTTTGCACAGTGACCACACTTGTGTGTGGAGTGAGGATACTTTTAAAAGAAGAGCAAAGGCCCGGTGGCCGTGTGGTTAAAGGAATAGTTCACCTGAAAACAATTAAAGATGATGGTTTTAGTATTCACCTCGTCCCTTCGGTCACGGAAAATAAGAGCAGATCAGCGCAAACAGAGAGAAGTGTTCCTATCGGACTCGGAATATATCTGCAACATTCGCTCTTGTGTCATCCCTCCTTCTTTCCCTCTGTTGTTCAGGTCTCTAAGCGGAGGGTCAAACTGTCCTGTAAAGAAGGCGTGATGTCGGCCTCGATGACAACAAAAGATGGCTCCTTTATTAATAAATAAAATATTTCTGTATATTTTATTATTTCAGACATATTTTATTGATGTCCTATTTATTTACCCGTCTTAAACTATTTATCTATTCATTCATTCATTTTATTCATTGCTTTTATTTACTCATCAGTTTGTACATTTAGTTTTTTTTATTTGCTTTTTTACTCATTTAATAATTGCAACATTTTTTTTCTTCTTTTGTTTATCCATAGCTCCATTATATCAGCTTTTATGTAAATGTAACCTCCACTCATGCGTGAGCCCAGACTGAATATCGTGAATTCATTTAATCACGTAAAAGGATCTCACCCTCTCATAGCCGCTGTCAGTCAGGCGGTCTTTTAATGTGCTGTGCAGCCCTCTAGTGGATTTAGGATTTAGTTACAGACTTGGAATAATCAGAGCCTTTATTTATGTAAGGAAATACCACAGTCTAAAAAAAACATTACAAGTGACAGTCGAGCATTCAAAGTTCACCAAAATGTACTCAAAGCATCCAAAGTAAAAGCACTTAATGCAGAATGCCTCTTTTCACCGTGTTATACTATGATAGATCAATATAATCTAATGTTTTTACTCTCTAACAAATATATATGCTGTATTTTAAGGCACATACATACTACTGGGTGGATCAGGTTTCAGTTTCTTGTATTTCTTTGTGCAATTTTGGATTGTTTAACCTCATAAAGCCCCGTGGAGTTTCTTTTTGGAAAGGGTCACAAGCCATGAAGGTTGATTTTAACAGCTGCCTTTACGAACATTGCTTTTTTTTAAAATGAGAAAACCTGTAAAAGTAGCAAATACCTTCCGTTGCCAGGTAAATACAGTGCTGTATGAAGTATAATGACTGCCACTGAAGTGTAGGAGAAGAAGCCATCTTGATACGCAAACAGAAGAGGAACCGCTCATTTGCTTTATTGTGAGTAATAACGCGAGAAGAAGAAGGAAGGAAGTGAGGCCTTTGCAGGTGATTGTTTCTTCCTGCAGCAGACTGCAGGCTCCTTCACTCGCAGAACTCACCACCATCTCTGACCTGTTCTGCTGACGGTCGAGTTGCATTGTGGGTAACGTAGGCAAGCGTATGTGTCGAATTAAAAGGAGCCACATCGCTGGTTCTGCTCCATTCATTTTTATATTTCCTACACGGTGTGTCTGATAATGTTATGGTAGAACACGCTTTTCACTAAGAGGAATAACTAAGCTTTAATTCACCTTAACTGCGTTAAATATACTGCAATGGGCCATTCGGTGTGTGTGAAAATCCCCAAACTATACTAGTTATATAATTATATAACTATATGTTCGGTTATGTGTCGCGTGTCTAAGGGGAATAACTGTTGCAGAAGTCAAAACGTGGTCCGAGGCACCAGCGGAGAGTCTCGGGCGGCCTGGGAGGCAAACGGCGGTCCGCCGGTGACGCCGCGGTTCACCGGAAGGGCGCGCGCTTCTGCCGGCGCGCGGCGCCGCGTAAACCCGCAGCAGGCCCTGTCCCCGCGCGCCGGCCTCTGCCTCCCTTCCTCCCCCCCACCTCCCCCGAACCCGAACCAGCAGGTTCCGAGGCTGAAAAGCGAACAAAAAGAAAAAGCATCCGAGTTTGCTACTCGGCGGTCTTCTTTGTTTTAACCGTGAGAAGTGAGAGGCCGGTAGATTCACGGTGATATTCACATTAACGGACCCGCACGCGCTCGTTTCTCCCAATTCGGCTGCATCTGAATCTTTAGAGGAGGAGGAGGAGGAGGAGGAGGAAGGGTTGCTCGTGTCGCTCACTACCGCCGTTCCCCACATCGCTTCCCGGGGACATGGGGAGTGAATTGGTGTGTGTGGAGGGTATTTTATTTTTGTTCTAAACACCGCCCCACACCACCACCACCACCGTCTACCCGCCCGCTCGGTCCCCACTGACACACCGTCTCCAAAACCTCCAAATCTCCCCCCACGAAGAGCCCAACACGGCAAAGCAGAGACCTCGCAGCTCAGCCCCCCTCCTCACAGCGCACAATCGACACTTAAGTTGCCATTAAATGATACATTTGTAGCACTGCGACGTGTTTTTGGGCACATACACACACATGCACACAATGAGGAGCCCCCCCCCGCACCACCTTGTCGTGGCACAAACGCTCACGAGACGGGCTTTGGGAGGCATTCCATGTAGGGGGAATGTTCCTGTCGGGGCCGACTGAAGACCCCGACCGGCCACCACAAGCACATCCGGGGCTCGGCAGAAGGTGCGCTTTGGGGCTCGGTTCCTCCGTGGCTGCGTGAACTTTATGTCGCGCACGCATTAACACTTTGTGGCCTGCTTCTTTTCTATTCCCCCCCCCCCCCCCTTCCCTCCCTCCTCTAAGGCTGGAGGACTCCATTTTGAAGGGACCGGGTTTGCAGCCAGGGAGACTCCACAGCAACTCGTCTCGAGGAAAAAGGAAGCCCATCTTGTCATTTTCCGGGTAGCCCGCTGCACCGTTTCACTGCTCCTCTTGACGTGTTGGTGGTCGACATTTTTGAATGACTTCTCTTTATTTGTTTATTTATTTATTTGACTCCGTCTCCAGGCGCATGTGTCCCGGGGTGGGGGTGGGGGCGCGCTAGTTTGTTGGCACAAGTTTGACACGTGACATGTCCACGGTGATGAACCGTGACGGCGGCCTGGGTCAGGCTAATTGAGGCTTGGTAATTAAGGACAGGGGCGGGGCTGAATTTTGGAGGTGTTTCGGGGGTTTTTTTGGGGGGGGGGGGGGGGGGGGCGCGGGGTGTGTTCCTGCGAACAATTTTCCTTTTCCTAGGAAGAGAGATTTACGGCCCCTCATGAGCTCCACGCCGTGGACCGCCTGGGGGGGGGAGGCAGTGGTGACGACGGGCAGTGCGCACGGCAAGACAGAGAGACTTCCAAAGCGGGCAGACGGGCAATATTCTCCACACAGGGCAGAAATCCACACAGGGCGAATTTTAAAGTTGAAGCTTATCATAAAGCGGCGGGGGGGTCGCTGAGGGGGGGGGGTCGCTGAAGGAGCGCAACACGATTCCAGCTCGATTCCTGGGGCCGCTGGACCAGGCTTTAGCGCATGTAGAGAGGAGGAGGAGGGAGGAGGAGGAGGAGGAGGCGGTGGCGGGGGGGGGCAGTCAGTGAGTACGTTTCACAGGATCCAGGCCTAGTAGTGTTGCCGCTGGGACTCTCCTCATCCGCTTTCAAAAAATCGGAAATTGGCTCCTTTAAACGCCACAATGAGCGGATCGCGGGTCACGTTCGCGGTGGCCGACACCGGAATGGTAAGATTCTCGCGACGGGGCTCGTGTCACTCGGCGTTTTCTCCGTGATTTCTGTTGTTTGGTGCACACATAGCCTGCATCTGTCGGGGAGGGAAACCTGTGCAAGTGTGTGTGTGTGCGCGCGCGCGCGTGCTTGTCTTTCGCGCGTGTATTTGTGTGTTGTCAAACTTGTTGTATGTGGCGTCTTGTGTTACCAGCCTCGTGCAAGCATGCAAGCAACGGGCGGAAAACACAGACACACGTACAAACAGACACACACACCCACACACACACACGCATGCAGTGGCACACATCTCTGAGCGCGCGCGTGCACGCGCACGAACGGGTCCATTTTATTTCCAGTGGCCGGTTTGCGGCGCCGGCGTGTATGACGGTCGATTTTCACATGACGTTATTCGTTGCCTTTATCCTCCGCGTGCGCGTGTGCACAGCATGCACCGGCGCGAGTTGCAGCCTGCTGACCTTATCCCGCTGGATGTAATGTTCATCATATCGCGATAATTTTCCTCACAGGGCTTTAATCCGCCGGTTGCAATGTTCGCGCAGAATCTCTTCCAAAATAAAATGAAAATGTCACCATAGGTCGGTCGGCTGGTCGTCAGTGAGTCTGTTTTACGTTCTGTTTGTGACATCACGTGAAGGCAGGTTTGTGTTGTATTTAACGGATTTGATGGCCTAGCCGTCACTTTTTTTTTTTTTCTAAAACACATCCTTCAACCAGCTGCCTGGATAACTTTAGACAAGCTGGAGTGCTGTTGTGACAGATTGTAGAAACATGCTGTGCATCAAAAAATGTTATTTTTTTAAATAGGGTTTTCAATGTAGGGTTGTACAATATATCATGAAATCAAAATCTACAGGTACACAACAAGCCTCGATGCAAGAAAATATTTGCGGAATGTTTGTTATTGATTTTTTTTTTTCCCACCCTGATGATCTTCTTCGTGTTTTTCAGGGAGGAACGATGCCAGCATGAGTGGGCCTTACCGAGGCCCAGGCAGGGACACTCATCAGTCCAGCTGCCCTTTGACCCCCGGCCGTGACCTCTCCGCCCACTCCGGCGCCCCCAGACACCATGACCACAGGGTCGGGCTAACCATGTCTGCCGCGTCCTCCTCCCTCAAGCATGCGTCCGTCTATGGGTTCACTCAGAGAGACCACTCGTCCTCCTCCTCTTCATCCACCTACAGTCCTCTCAGGAGGCTGCAACATCTCACCACCATGGTGAGCCAGCCGGACCTGGTCCTGCCGGTGAGGGAGCCGGAGAGGAGCTGGGAGTGGGGGGGGAATAAGAAGGACAGGGGGAAGGGGATGGAGAGAGACTCCTGGGGGGACTGCACCGCCGGTGATTATTCCGGCACCCAGAACTCCAGCCGGGAGGAGAGCTTCGGTGGCTTTTCTGCCGGGCAAAAACGACCCGTGGTCCAGACCAGGAGTAGAGACGCGCCAGCGGGCAATGGCGGCGACCCCGTCGAGTCGAAGGCGGAAGTTTGTTTCTCCGGCCCGCCCAGCCCGGCCTTCTCTCTCGACAGCAACAGCCCCTTCGCCAACGGCTTCCTGCACTTTGAATCCTCTTTGTTCGAGGACGACAACGAGGAGCAGGGCACCGGGTCGCCTCTGGGGGAAGCATTGCAGGACCAACTGGAGAATGCGGGGAATGCTCCTCCGTCCACTCCTGGACACTTCAACTCGGAGGCCAAGGACGCTAGCGCCTCGTCTGCCAAGGTGGTCACCCGGTCGCAGTCCTCGGGTCAGCGCAGGAGATACTGGGATGGCTCAGATGACGAGTGGGAGAGCGGCACCGAGCTGTTGCTGCTCGGGGATTTTCCTTTGATGCATTCATTGGCAAGTTGTATCCATTTTCCTCCACGTAAACCGCTTTCCAGTCATCCTCATTATTATTTTTTAGCAATGGCAACATCTCACATTATGTAAAAAAAACGTAAACCTTGTGCATTACACACTGAACACCTACACGGCCCTTCACCTGTTGTAACAGAGTTATCGGGCGTTGTGAAAAACGGTCGGGCACCGATGAGACCAGGCCTCTTTTTACAAACAGCTAAAGAAAAATGTTCCGTAGAGGTTTTCAAACTGTGAGGAGAGCTGATGGAGGGAAAGAGGCTAGCGTACTGGGTAAGGTGGATACCAAAAGGAAGAGTGATTGTGGATTGGATGCTGACTTTGGCCTGTTCATGTACAAGGTCTGCAGGCTGCAAATGGCGACAATGAAGGTGCTTAAAACCCATAGAGCTTGATTGCAAAAATCATAAAGTAATGATTTCCTCCTTGTGGCTTATATGTTAAAATGATTTACAGGAAGTTTCTGCAGATTTGAGGCGGAGTTGGATTACCATGTGACACCCTAGGAAGTCCCCGTTCCTAAAGATATCACATCTACTTCTTTTAACCTATCTGTTTTGTTTCAGAATTTAACAAACTTAATATAACGTGTTGTTTAACGAGCTTCAGAGGTGCTTGTAGGTTGGACTGTGTTCAGACTTTGTGCTAAGCTAACTAGCTGCTGACTGACACGAGAACCGTATTGGTCTCAGCAACAGTCTCACAAAGTGAATCAGTGCTTTCCCAAAATGTTTGGCGTAATTATTTATTGACCTAGCTGCAATCTAGTTTTGCTTTCACCTCGTTGTCCCAAAAAGTCCCTGTTCAAGATATAGGACCACTTTTATTTCTGCTGAATTAAGCGGCAACTGGAAAACCTATACAATCACAGATTTTGAGGGTAGTAGATCATGAGCCTGCCATTTCTTACAAAGATTCAGAGTAATTCAAATACAAACACCTCTGGAGGCCAGCTTTCCCCCCACTTCCTGTTTTGATAACGAGCTACGCTAATCATATCCTGTCGCTAACTTCAGACAGATATGGGAGTGCTATTGACTTTCTCATCAAACCTTCAGCAACAAAGTAAATATGCTTTCCCAAAATGTTGGTCTATGCCTTCTGAAATACACGGTTACATCATAGCGTGTGTGTGTGTGTGTGTGTGTGTGTGTGTGTGTGTCACATAGTGTTTAACAGTAACTCTTCAAATAGGCTACTTTCTTTGGACAACTATAGAAGGATTTCACACCTAAATCCTGTGACGTATTCAATCTGGATGTTCTTACAGTCCACATTTTGTCTTTTCATCGCCAACAAATGAAGCCCAAACTGGAGCTTTATTTAGAATTTACGTCTTTTGGGAATCTTTCATTGTTTTAGTAGGACTGTCTCTGCTCGCTCGACTGATCTTTTACTTCGCCCCAGTCAACTGAGACTATTCAATAAGTCTTTAGGATTTATATGTCCAAGAAACCTTTTGAGCAATGTTAAACAAACTTTTTGAAGCAGTGCTGTTGTGTGATTCTTTGTGTAGAAACTCAGTTTAAAAGATCTGGCGTATATCAACTTGGTGTTAGTTGACTCTGATTTTCTGTGGTCGAGGAAAGTTGACTTGGTTCTCTGACGAGCACCAAAACCGTTTAAAGACCCAGAAAAGCCTTGAAATGTTGAGCAAGGTAAGCGTACACGTCAACAAATCCTATTTTGGCTCTGAGTTTCAAAATAGCATTCAGCTTCTTTTAGACCATAGCATTTTACACTAATAGTTATCGGTCCTCACATGAATTCTGCAACACGTCTGTGTTGATGTTGTTTAGTAGTAGTACTACTGGAGTTAGTGCACATCAGGGGTCGCAATGGAACCGCTAAAGTAACCAACACACCTTCTGATCTGTTGAGAACGCACAAGACGTCTTTCTTTCAGTTGTCTGATTGCTGTTTTATTTCTTCATTGTTACGTTGTTGACAGCAGAACAGCCCCAAGAAAAAGTCTTTGCCGCCGTTGAAGTTTTTAGAGGGTGAAGTTATTTGGGCAAAGTTCAACCGAAGACCATGGTGGCCGTGTGAGGTGACCATTGACCCAACGCAGGGTATCTATCACAAAGTGAAAGGTGGGCCAAAGACTTTGTTGACTAATGTGTTTTGCTTAACAGTTAATTAAACCTCAGCTGGACAGCAGAGCATTGCTGATTATTAATAATGCAAAAAGCTGATGGTAAGATTGTTTGATTGAAATTGTGACACAACACTGGATGCACGCTGATGTGCGTGTTTTAAATGTACTTAAACAGTTTCAGAACACCCTTAAATCATCATGATTTATATTGCTATCAAAAACATAAATGTACTCGTGTTTTTCATTGTACTTGTGTAGAAGTTTTAAGCTCCCTTTGCTTAGATGCCCCACAGATGTATTTTCTGTGCAGGATGGTGTATTCTTAAATCTCATATCAAGACATTGAGGCTGATCTTTGTTGTCGTCTCAGAGCCGAGTGACCGTCCCTGTCGGCTCTACCATGTCAGGACCTTTGGGGAGCCCGTGGAGCTCACCTGGGTGGAGGACAAAGCCACTCACGGTTTCCACGGAGGCTTCGAATTTGAACAGCTCCCCCTACTTCGCCGAAGGGGGAAGCAAAGGGAGCAGAACTACAAATACACTGTAATTACTATTTCCAGAATGATGTGTCACTGGTTGCATGCCCAAATAAAAAGTTGGTCTAAACCATCGTCTTTGCTGGGTGATTGTCATGTTGGACAATAAAAGAGGTTTTGGACTTCAGGAATTACTGTATTTTCAATTAAGAACGGATTCTGTGCAAAGATTGAATATTGTTTACCTTTTATCTTTCTGCAGATTGCAAAACGATTTCAAGACTCTTGGAAATCCAGCGTGGCAGAAGCTGAATTTGTTCTCCAACAGAGACCTAAAATAGCTTCTTTCATTCCTTCATCTATTGATGATGCCTTCCGTTCCACACCAAAAAGAAAGAAGAAAGTCCATCCAACCTTTCCTCCTTCCACTTTACCCACCCTTCCTGAGGCATTGCACATTACCAATGGATCCATTACATCCCCAGTTACAACTTCAGCAAAAACAAGCACTTTAAGGAAATCTACTGGAAAGAAGAAACCAAGTAAATCGTCAAAGGACACGAGTAAACCTGCTAAAAATATGTTGCATGATACGCCGGACCAATCAGATAGAGACAATGGAGAGTGTCCCTATTCTGACCTCGACTCAGTCCCCAAGATCTTGTGTCCAAACGCACTCGAACGTCAGTCAAAGTTGGCTCCTGCTCAGCCACTTGTCACAGTTGTCAAAGAGGTGAAGAAGCCGCCCGAGATTCAAAGTGGTCTTTGGTTCAGCAAGTCTGGCAAAGACAGACGACCTAAAACCTCCAGTCCGGTGTCTGACCGCACTCTCTTTAGTAAAGTGCCCTGTAAGAAAAAGAACTTGGGTGTTCTGAGTAAAAGGTCACCAGTTCCTAGTGTGTCGTCCACGGGTGGTGGGCTCAGTGACTCGTCGGGGTGGTCAGACAAGCATAAGACCCTGGTACCTGCTGAAATAAATCAGTCACCTGAACGGATGGGACATTTGAAGTGTAAAGACCCCCCAGTTGTCGATGGGCCTTTTAGTACCACTGGCGGTCCTGCTGATCAGTCAGGAATGCCAGTCAAGCAGAGGTCGCTTTTCTCTTTTGAGACTGGTGTGACTGCTGAAAAGCGTCGGCATTCGAAGGGAAGACCGACAATGAGTGATATTGTTACTGGCTCAAAGTCCCACCAATTGGGTCTCTCGGATGTGAAAAAGGCCTTAGAGCCCAGACCAGTAAGTTTTATAAATCAAACCAAGTTGAGTGTAAATACCGTCAGTCAAACTCAACCTTCTGACTTTGTGGCCAATAGAGAGGTCCATTTAATTAACAAGATTCTTGACAAAACAGGCAAAAAAGAAACCAACAAGAATGCAGGAGCCACTTCGAATGTTGATACCACTGACCCATTAGCAAGTCAGGAGAAACCAAAAAGTCTGGTTTCAAAGTGTAGGCTGCCCTTTGTCAAATTGGTACGCAAGGACATAAAGGGGAAGAAGTTCCTGAAATCCAGTGTAACCGTTGATCCCAATAATCGACCTAAATGTAAAAAGAGTCGGAAAACCCCGGATTCTGCTGTGACTAAACTGACGTCTAAACCTTCTGATTGGGTTGACGGCAAAGCAAGTGTCTCCGTAGGTCAGGCCCTGGGTTCTGAATCTGTGAAGGTCGCAGTGAAGAAGTTAAAAGCAAGCGGTGGGACTGGTGTTCTTCGCCTATCGTCAGAATCATGTCCAGGTAAAACTATGGTTGCCTCAGATGTGGCAAGTGCGTCTGATGAGTTAGGTGCCCCAGAAGCTGTAAATGTTAGCGCAGGCAGTGTGACCAACTCATCCTCTAACCAATCAGAACAGTCGGAATTTAAGAAGACTCCTGCAACCAAAGGAACCAGCATCCCCTGTGAACAGTTGGGCGGCTCAAAGCAAAACAATACAAGTCCAACTTCTCAGAAGCACGGCAATCTAGTGTGCAAGAAAGCTTCTGCTCCCAGAGGCCCATGCTCTGCTAAATCCAAGAAAGTTGTCTACAAATCAAAGCAGGTTCTTGAAGAAGTTGTACTTCAGGAGCAGCCCGCCCACCTCCCGGCCAGTAATCGTTTGATGACCAGAGCCCTGAAGGCCATGCAAGAGGCGGATCAGAAGAAGCGTGAAAAAGCCAGAAAGGTGGCTGCGCAGAAAAAACTCTTAAATCCACACAGAAAGGATGAGGACCTTGTGCGTAGTTCTGCGCATAATTCCAAACTGGACATTTGCACTAAGGCGAAATCTCTTAAATCTCACAATAAAAAGGATCAGGACATTTTATCAAGCTGTAGCACCCCCCTTTCAACGTTTTCTGACCCGGTTGACTTCAATTTTGGCGTAAAGAGTGAAGATGAGGATCTCTCAGTCTCCTCAACTCCACCAATGGACTTTATACCTCTGACTTCTAGGGTAAAGGCAAAGAAGGAAGATCATCCCTCTGGCATACACGCCTCGTCCTCGCCTTCCTCACCATTTTCTTTTATGAATGCCTTCAAAAACGGGGAAGAGGTATCCTTCCAGTCGGTGACAAGTGAGGGCCATGGGAAACCCATCTCTTTCAAAACCGACACAAACTACAAATTCAGCACTTTTCTTATGATGTTGAAGGACATGCATGACACGAGAGAGCGAGAGGGGACGCCCTTAGAGCTGGAAATTGGGCCACCAAGTGCACATGTTAAGGAGGAACCCTTAGTGATGCCGGGTGAGGCAACACCCTCGGGCCATGATCGGCAAATTGAACATGTTAATAAAAGTCTATATTTAAGTCCAGACCAATTTGAGATCAAACATAATGAGGAGAGCACAAGTCAGATGTCCAAAAGGCCCTATAAGAGAAGGAGCAGCTCCACCGGGGTGAAAAAGAAGTCCAACCACAAAGTGCCTTGTCGTCCTGCCAGGTCTGGCCCTGGTTTCCCTGGAGTGGAATCCGTGCCAACAATGGACTCTTCATTGGGAGCTGATTGCTCGTCAAGCGTCCAATCCCTGTCGGGCCTGCAGACCAGCAGCTGGAAGAGGCAAGCCGTTGGTGGGGAAGGAATGCTTGGGGAGGAGATGGAGGAGGACAGGTGGGGCAAAGTAAATGAGAATCTTCAGAACATTGTGCCTTTGGAGCAGACGGGGTGCGACTCTACACTGTGTCTGGAACAGCCAAATGGCCTCGCTGCAGACGGCACTGAGACTAACACTAGCTTGATGCGTAACACTGGAGAAGGCGAAAAGGCTCCAAAAGGTAAGAAAAGTCTCATATAAGAGCCGTCTCAAAGTAATAACGCACAATGTTGAGAAAAACAGCCAGAAATTGTAGTTATTGTAGTTTGGCCCACTGATTTGGCTTATCAGTCATAATAAAAACTTATAAAGTCTTATTTCACAGACATGTTTAGATTCAGTGAGATTTGCACTGTCCATAAATATCCATTTGAGACCAAACGTCCACATCTGGCCTAGAATTGTTTAAAAAAAAGAAAGATAAGCACAAAAACAGAATTGCGAAAATGCTGCTGACGCCATTGTAGTTCGGAAACTGCCTGCTCTCATTTGAGCTTGTTTTAGTCCTTCAAAAATAACGACAGAGGCACCTACGTTCAATTCTCGGTTGGGTCTTTTTTCTGTAATCAAGCCCTGGCTGTTGACAAATTGAATAGCTTACAACATGGGAAGCAGCGCACAGGGCCGTTTTGTGTCATGTGATGGCCGAAACAGATGTGTCGGTCAAAAACATCCGTGCTATAATGGTTTGGCTCATGCATTGGGCCACTGGGTGATTGGTTTTGTATGATACATGGATGGTAGATGCTGCTAAGCAATGGAACGTTGGTATCATTGTTTGCACGTGAGTAATTCCCACAGTTTGTGTTAAGTGTACTACTTCATGCTCATGACAGGAATCCACGCCTGAATTCCTAGTACTGTCGTCATATACAGGTAACCAGCAAGCTGGATCGGGCAGAATGTCGTACCAGTAGTATATTAAACTGCAGTATGTCACAGCAACGGTTCTTTGTACGCTTGCTACATGCTAGCATTTAAGCTCACTCAAAAACTACTAAAATCTCTTTGTGCAGGAAGCCGTGGAATAAGTGTGATAATTCACCCGAGTGGCCCAACAAACAAATGGGATTTCAAAAGGCTAGTGTCTGCTCTTATTTATCTTTTTTAGCACATAAACGAATCAGAAAACCAAGCAAGAGGCTGATTGAATTTACCGAAGAGTACGATCAGATCTTCTCCACCAGGAAGAAAACCAAAAAGCTTCCCCAGTTGATTGGAAAGGTAAAAATCATACAATGTAAGGTCTGTAATTTAATAGTTTGATTTTGTTATATATGCATAGATATGCACACAAAGCCTGAATCCCTGATGAAACCCCGTCGTTTGTTTTCTTAGGACACTCCGCCCGTCGTGGCCACGTCCGAACCCCCGGGATCGGACAACAGCGCTCAAGACCAGCCACCCGTCGACTTGCTCCCTGAAATACAGACTCCGCCTCCTGAGGAAATCGCCGCAACGGCGCCCTCTGAACTTCCGATTCCCAGCACGGAAAACACAACCCCCCAAGATGCACCGGTGCTTTCCGTAGACACACTAACCCCTCCTCCCGAATCTGACCTTTCGCTGCCCCAAGTCCTCGTCAAAGACAACGGTGAGGACATCTCTGTGTTTCTTTCTCTGCTACTTAACTGCGTTCAAACTGTTTGTGGGGAGAAACATTTAGGAAGTGCGTGTGTGGACCAAATGTGACCATTTCCTCAACAGCATTAACGAGGTTGGCCGCTGATGTTAAGTGCTTCCATACCGAACCGGGAAAATCATTTGTAATTGATTTGAAAAATGTAACAATGAGTCATTTCATGTGCCGTTTATTTCCCAGTAAATGCTCCCGTATTGGAGAAGAAGCGAAAGAGGAAACCCACCCAGAAGATCCTGGAGTATTCTTTGGAGGCAGAGGCCTCAACGGGCCCCAAGAAGAAGGTAAATGTTCATCTGATGTGTGTGTATTTATTCATTTGTGCGACATGCATAATAGTTGAGTTTCATTTGAGTTTTTACGGTTTTTGGTAAATCGATTTTGTTTTCAGTAAAATTAGTACTTCTTCCAACTCGGTTGAGGCATTCATCGGAGTATATGTAAAGTATGTAAAGTTGCAATCCTTTTTGGGAAGATGAGGAAAGTTTGTATAATAGATTTTGTGATCATTTTCATCTCAACAGGCTTTTGGGGATTTGACCGAATTTCAAAATAAAGCAGTCAATAGTATGTTGGATAGACATAATAGTTGTGACCAGAGATGAGAAAAAAAAGAAACCACGATATTACAGATTAGAAAGTTTGAGATGTTTTTTTTTTTTTTGCTCCGTTTGATTGGAAAAAGTGTTTTTTTTTTTCTCATCACAGGTGAAAACACTGAAGAACAACTCAAATCCTAATTCTCAATCAGGTCAGTGAATCACCAATGTATATTTGACTGTTTTCCAACTTCTAATAACTCATTTTGCTTTTTTATTTTGTGTGCGGGCGAAACATTCCTCTCGTGAGCTAGTTGTTATTGATAATGATTCATAAATTGGAGGGAGATTTGGATTATTATTTTCCTGCAGCACTGTGACTTGTGTGTGGTTCTAACACGTCTTTTCTGCACCCAGATTCTGGACGGCCATCTTTGACATCAAAGCCTAAGCAGGTTCCGGCCTCCGGTTCCACGGCGACCCCAGCGGAGGCGTCCGCCTGCACGCCCTCGGACCCCCCCCCTATCTCTCCCGCACCCACTTCCCCGGCCCCGCCCAAACTCGCCGACGGGGAGACGGCATCGTCGGAAGACGTTGATGCTCCTCAGGCGGAAGACAGAAGGGACGCGGCGGAGTCAGAGGTGAGCCTTCGCTCTCTTACTGATTCCCCTCCCTGTTGTGTCATTTGATTGGATCTACGCCGATGCAGTGATGAGTCAAACTGTTGTCATATAATAATATAATATATATCATATAATAATATAATATACCTTTTAGAAATCTGATTCATTGCCACGTGGATTTGTCTCTTTAGGGGGACCTGTCCAGCTTGGATCAAAGCTTCTCCTCCACAAAGGACTACTTGTCGCTGTGCGACGATCCACTTTTACCCTCCAGGAAGATCATTGGCGACAGAGGAGGTCCCGCCTCCATGAAGGAGAACATCTGTCAGGTGATCTATCGAACCTCTCACACTGTCGCAAAGGATGTCGCTGTCGCAAAATGGAACCCCGACCACCGCCATCTTCGTGTTGGGTCTTTTGAAGTTGGGCTGTGTCTTTTTTTCCCGCCTCAGGTGTGTGAGAAGACGGGGGAGCTGCTCCTCTGCGAGGGTCAGTGCTGTGGAGCCTTCCACCTGCACTGCATCTCTCTGGCCGAGGCCCCGAAAGGGAAGTTTGTTTGCCCGGAGTGCAAATCAGGTACGGCCGTGTTTACCGGTATTCACATTTCTGCTGTGTGAAAGGAACACATGTAAAGGTATAAAAAAAAAGGTGACAATTTGTCAATCAATTTCCCCCCCCCCCAGGCGTCCACACTTGCTTCGTATGTAAAAAGCGCAGCGAGGACGTGCGCCGCTGCATGATTCCCGTGTGCGGGAAGTTTTACCACGGCGAGTGCATCGCCAGCTTCGCCCCAACCGCGCCCGTGAGCCGAGGCTTCCGCTGCTCCATCCACGTCTGTCTCACCTGCTTCATCAGCAACCCCAACAGCTCGTCCGTCTCTAAAGGTAAAGCGGCGAGGCCGGCGATTGGTCGCCGCGTGGCTGGCCCTCACACGCCCTCACGCGCCCCTGACGTTGTGCGTTGGTCGATCCGCAGGTCGTCTGGTGCGGTGTGTCCGCTGCCCGGTCGCCTATCACGCTACGGACCTCTGCATGGCGGCGGGCTGCGTCGTGCTGTCCAACAACAGCATCGTCTGTCCCAACCACTTCGCCCCCCGCCGCGGCGTCAAGAACCACGAACACGTCAACGTCAGCTGGTGCTTCGTCTGCACCGAAGGTGAGGAACATGTGGCCTCAGCTCGGAATGGAAACGCTCTTATTTGCTTTCTGCAGGCTGACTTGACTAGAAATATCCCTTTTTAAAGGAAGAGTAATTGTATTTTTATGGTCAATAGAAGGCAGCAGAACAACACAGCCAATGGTAACCATAGTGGCATTATCTGCTTTTTGCTGGGTCAATATTCAGCAAATATACAAAAAGGGTTTTATTTACACATCCAGCTGATACTTAAATTCATCAAAACACTGTATGAATCATTGTTGTCCAATGTTCTCTCTTAGCTCGATATTTGGTCTCCACCAACTCCGAGGGGAAATAAATGTCTTTATAAATCTTTTAGCTGCTTAATGTTTCTCTTTCTCAACCAGCTAGTTACTAAGATAATCTATAAGTAATAAGCTATGAGAGGCTAAAATGTTCAGTACAGCTGGTTCAGCAAACGGAGCTAACATTTGTTGAGGTCGAGTTGCCCTTCACGGGCGGCCGTTGACGCAGTTCCTCCTCCCGTCCTCCAGGGGGCAGCCTGCTGTGCTGCGAGTCCTGTCCGGCCGCGTTCCACCGCGAGTGTCTCAACATCGAGATGCCCAAAGGCAGCTGGTACTGCAACGACTGCAAGGCCGGGAAGAAACCCCGCTTCAAGGACATCCTCTGGGTGAAGGTGGGCCGGTACAGGTCAGTTTGGTTTTTATTTTATTTATTTAGTTTAAGCAACCTGTTATCCGGGACGCTTTGGGCAGTAAGTATGTTGGAGGGAAATGTCTCAACAACAGTCGAATTGATTTGGAATGAAATCCGGTTCAGAAATTCACGCTTAAACCATCTCACCCTCAGTGATCCTCTGACTTTTCACTTGGCGTCAGATCAACGTGCTCGTGTGTCCGATACTTTGCCGCGTTACCAAATACCTGCAGACAGAAAATTCCCCTCAGCATAAGCGTTACCGCACTAAACTCACAGCGCTAGCATGTTAAACACACCGGCTTGTGCGGTCGCCCATCTGCTCCGTAAAGATGGTGGCCAGCCGAGGTCAGCCACCCCAAAACCATCCCGGAGAACATCCAGCGGATGAAGCACGATGTCGGGGAGTTTCCCGTCCACTTCTTCGGCTCCAACGATTACCTCTGGACGTACCAGGCCAGGGTCTTCCCTTACATGGACGTGGACGCCAACAGCAAAGAGAAGATGGGGAAAGGCGTCGACGCCACCTACAAGAAAGGTACCTCGTGGGTTCTCGTGCTTCTCGCTCGTCCTGTCCGTACCTGCCGTGATGACTCGAGCGTTCTCCCTCCTCAGCTTTGGAGGAGGCGGCTGTTCGCTTCCGCGAGCTGCAGGCGGAGAAGGAGCTCCGGCAGCTTCAGGAGGACCGGAAGAACGACAGGAAGCCTCCGCCGTACAAGCACATTAAGGTCAGCGCGGGTCGAGGTCTCCGTTGCTCTGAGCGTGCTTCATCCTGCAGGTCTCTCCAAAGGGAAGCAGTGGTCTCCGTCCCCCAAAAAGACCTTTTACTTTGTATTATTAAGTCGTGTTTAACGCTGCTGATCTCTGACAACTCAACTCCCAAATATATTCACTCTGATTTGATATAAAGGCAACTACTGTCTTAATGAATTCATGTCTCCATTCACCTTTTTTTGGACTCGTGCAGGTGAATCGACCCATCGGGAAGGTGCAGATCTTCACGGCCGACCTGTCGGAGATCCCGCGGTGTAACTGCAAGGCGGCGGATGAGAGTCCGTGTGGGATGGACTCTGAGTGCATCAACCGCATGCTGCTGTACGAATGTCACCCGCAGGTACGGAGACGCCTCCGTCACTTTTAACTTTAACCGCTCCTTCATCATGTGCACCGGCCTCTGACTGTGTGCGTTTGCTGCTCAGCAGGCAGCGCACAGAGGTTTCTCTCTGTATAAGAGGCTGAAAAGAACGATGAACGAGCGCTTTACAAATGACCTGAAACTGTGTGTGAAGCTCTGTAAAAAAAAAAAAACCAAACATTGAGCTCAAAGAGGCTGAAAACGTGTGCAGGTTTGCCCGGCGGGCGAGCGCTGCCTCAACCAGGCGTTCAGCAAGCGTCAGTACAGCCAGGTGGAGATCTTCAGGACGCTGTCTCGAGGCTGGGGACTCCGCTGCGCCCACGACATCAAGAAGGTAACTCCTTTCGACTGCGAAATTCTTTCTGTTTAGAGCGATCGAAGCGAGGCCAAATGACAAATCGTGATCGCCGCCGAACGTTTCTGCCCCAGGGTCAGTTCGTGAGTGAGTATGTCGGCGAAGTGATCGACGAGGAGGAGTGCAGGTCCAGGATCAGACACGCCCAGGAGCACGACATCTGTAACTTCTACATGCTGACTCTGGACAAGGTATCCGAGCTGTGGTCCACACGGGCCTGGAGTCAAACTCCTCTGCTGGTTCCGTACTGTTTATTTGCCCATTTGTCTGATCCTCGCCCGCGTACTCAGGATCGAATCATCGACGCCGGGCCGAAGGGCAACGAAGCTCGCTTCATGAACCACTGCTGTCAGCCCAACTGCGAGACGCAGAAGTGGACGGTGAGCGGAGACACCCGGGTGGGACTGTTCGCCCTCGTCGACGTCGCAGCGGGTAAATTGAGGACACGAGCGCCGCGCTGGGAGTCGTGTTAAAACGTGGCGCCCCGCGGGGTTTTGGAGCGCTATAGAAACGCGCATCTCGTGTGTTTCTGTTCAGGCACGGAGCTCACGTTCAACTACAACCTGGAGTGTTTGGGCAACGGCAAGACGGTCTGTAAATGCGGGGCGCCGAACTGCAGCGGCTTCCTCGGGGTCCGGCCGAAGGTGAGGGGGGCGGGGACGTGAGGGGGGCGGGGACTCGAATACTGCGTTCAACACCTGAAGTCGGGACGGGAGAGTGTGTGAAAGTGTTCAGATCTTTTACTCGAGGCGACATTTGTGCCGCGCGTCGTTAACGCGGAGTTCTCTCCCCTCCGAACCAGAACAACCCGCCGCCTGACGACAAGGGCCGTAAGATGAAGAGGAGGGGCCACGGCAAGAGGAAGAACAAGGCGGTGGTGACCAAAGAACGAGAGGACGAGTGTTTCAGCTGCGGAGACGGGGGACAGATGGTCTCCTGTAAGAGACCCGGTTGTCCCAAAGTCTACCACGCCGACTGCCTCAACCTCACCAAGAGGCCCGCGGGTCAGTGGCTCCTCACTTAACTCCGCAATTAGATGATGAAACCTTTCAGCATTTCACGCTGAAGGTTCTTTCCCATCGGTGAAACAGGAAGCAACTGATTCACGCTCCTCAGGAGAAGCCTGTCTTGTTGTCCCGTCCTTGACGTCCTTGTCTCCGTGTTCCCCCCCTGCAGGTCGTTGGGAATGTCCGTGGCACCAGTGCGACGTCTGCAACAAGGAGGCGGCGTCCTTCTGCGAGATGTGCCCCAGCTCCTACTGCAACCAGCACCGCGAGGGCCTGCTCTTCATCTCCAAGCTGGACGGCAAGCTGTGCTGCAGCGAGCACGACCCGTGCGGGCCCGACCCGCTGGAGCCGGGGGAGATCCGGGAGTACGCGCCCGACCCCAGAGCGCTGACCTCGGGGCTGGGCATGGCCGTCATCCCCACTGCTGCTTGTAACGCCGCCGGTCTCAAAACCACCGCCAGGGAGGTCGGCGGCGTGCGCCCCTCCGGGTCGCTTCCTGCGCTTTCCCTCCCGGTGCCCATCGCCATTCCCGTCGCCACGCCGGCTTCCTCACCCCCCCTGTGCAGCTCGGACGCTCCCAGCAGCGCCCCGGCGTATGACCTCCCGCACTACTCGCCCATCTCCTCGTACGAGGAGGAGAGGGATGTCTTGGAGGAGGAGGAGCTGCTGGAGGAAGTGGAGGAGTCGGATGAGGAGGAAGAGGAGGAGGAGGAGGAAGAGGAGGAGGAGGATGAAGAGGGCGAGTTGGAGAGGCAGACATCAGTTTCTCGAGAAGAGGACGGAGAGGCGGTGATGGAATATCTCGAGATCAAAGAGGACGATGAGGACGACGATGAAGAGGACAATGAGGAGGGCGATGAAGAGGATGGTGGGGAGGGCGATGAAGAGGATGGTGGGGAGGGCGAAGAGGAGGAGGAGGAGGAGGAAGACGACGATGACGAAGAGGAGGAGGGCGACGACAAACAGGAGGATGAGGAAGACGACGACGACGACGATGAAGAAGAAGAAGAGGAGGAGGACGAGGAGGAGGAGGAGGAGTGACGCAGTGGATTATGACACATAATCACAGCGGGAAGATGAACCAATCACAAGTAGCTCAGTCCGTCACTGTTGGAGGAATTTTAGGACAAAACTAAATTGACGCAATAAATAAAGTGTTCAGAAATCAAATGAATAAACGGCAAAATACTGTACAGAACCGTATTTAAACACAGACTTTTGGTATTTATTTAGTTTTGTCCTAACGGTCGGTCCCCGACACAGTGACTTTGCACACTAACGCTGACTGCACCTTCGTACGCGAGATCTGACAAAGACGATTCTCTGGAACTGCTACACGATGTACAACTTGAACATAAGTCTCACTCCAATATACTTGTTTTTCTCACAGACATCACCTGCTGGTTTGTTTCTGGTATTTGTTCTCCGTAGTATTTCAGCAAAGAAAAGACTGCACTGTAACTGTAGCGGCGGGGTGACGGGATCTCTCCCGTCTCCATCCCACGGAAAAGAGCCGGGGAAAAAAAAAAAAAAAACATGATCCTCCATCACGAACATCAGCTTTTCAAACATTAACACGGCAAATGCGTTCCTCGCGGTTTATCAGCACGATTAAACTTGCAAGAGGCGCCTTTGCTTCCATCTACTCCGTCTCCCGGTTCCTCTTGACCATTTGATGGTGCTGCAACATCAGTTTCATCGATGAAGCGATTCTCGACACGAGTTCACACGACAAGCGATTTGAGCATTTCATGCCAAACTGAAAAAAAAAATAAGCATCTAAAACCGACCGGTTGGGCGTTTGCTACGCGGAGAAGGCGTTTCGCTTCGTGGTCATTATTTATAGAGCGCTCCGCGAGGCACAGACGACGACGACGGCGGCGGGACGGACTCCCGCCGCGACGCTTACTCCCGTGTATGTTCTCGCCAGGCGTGTTTTCTGCTCTGTCTTCAAGCTCGATGTCGTCCGTGTGTTATCTGCCGATGCCTTAGCGTGTGTTTCTCTGAGATATTTTTAAGGAATGGTTTGGCGCCTGTGAAAGCCAAGTGTCCCTCCTGATGCCTTTTTACAGTGTTTCATTCCAGTGTAATTACGACCTGTTAGATCTCAACCATTGACCTGTTAAACACCTGCTATATATAAATATATAAGAAAAGACGTTATGAAACAAGCTTTGTACCGGCCTCGTTCTTTTTGTATTTATTGGTCCAACATGAAGCTACAAGATGTGTAGATATTCACTATTATTATTATCACTATATTACTGTGAGCCATCTTATTGTTTTGATGGCATAAGGCTTTTTAAATCCAACGGGGCTTTACGTTTGTTCAATTAAATGAGATCACCATTCAGTGTGCCAGGAAGTGGTTTAAAATATATAATGTTGGGAAGAAAAAAGTGTTTCTTTTTCAACCTCAAGCCCATTTTCAGAACGCCAACTGTAAATTAGCATCACTGGAAAAGTTGTTGCTGAATGTTAATCAAACAATCATTAGTGTTTTATCCAAAGGACAAGATTAAATATCCTTTAATCTAAGCTGTGTTCATGTTTTACTGTCCTGCACGGAATAAGATATATATTTAGTGTAGAATATGCACAGAAACGGCTTTGCAGAGACCTTTTAAGATGTCAAATCCTGTGGTGCTTTGAGTGACTCTTAATACAGCCGTGATTCAGCTGTAGCTACGTAGCAAACTGGTCAAATGGGCCTTTTCCATTCAGCTGCTTTGGTTGATGTAAAATAATTTGAAAAATGTTTTTTTTTTTAAAGTCAAAATACCTTCGGTCAAATATTTTAGGTCGAAATATGTCACGGAAAGAAAAATGAGTAAGTTAAATGTTTTGAAAACAATTCAAAATATGTAGATAAATTATAAAAAAGTCAAAAACATTAGTTCGAAGTGTTCAATTAAAGTAGTTTAGATCGAAATATGTCATGAAAAACATTTTTGAATATTAGTTCGGAATTTCTTTGGAATTTTTTTTTTAAATGCCATGAAAAGAAATGTGGTATAGTTAGTGACAAATGTTTTGAAAAAAGGAAATTGTGGAGGGAATTACATTACATTACATGTCATTTAGCTGACGCTTTTATCCAAAGCGACGTACAATAAGTGCATTCAACCATAGGGTACAAACTCAGGAGAACAAGAAACAAGAAAGTGCAATTTCCTCAAATAAGCCAATTTACAATTTGCTATAGATGAGTGACGTTACAAGTACAATTTAAGTGCTACAATTTGTTAGTCTTTAGTCGAGGTAGAGTCTGAAGAGAATCTGAATCTGAGATGTGAACGTCCATCTCTACCACCTAATAACCAAACAGGAAAAGGACAATGTCGCGGTAAACTTTAATTTTCACCCTTCACAACTTGTAGATGTTGCCTTTTGGATTCAGCCATGAGAAGGAAGGGGAAGCCACAGAGGAGCTCTAATCATCTGAAATGAGTAGAAACAACTGTGCAGGTGAGTTTTTAAAAAAAGAGATGAAGTGGAAACAGACTCACCGCATGTAAAGATTTAAAATACATGTTTGGCAAAGAAAATACTATTACAAGCCAAAGTATACGAGAGTGTAAACATGTATCAATACATTCACAGTCAACACGAGGCACTCAAACGATGCATCTTAAACCCTTCATTTGATAAATAATAAATCAGCCTTATTATAACAGCTTTTATTATTTTTAATCCAGGGTTTCTGCATTCACAACACTAATCTATGGACCACAATGAAAATGAATCTTTATCAAGGTCAACGAATGATCAGTGGGGACAATAAGGTCTATAATGACTAAACCTGCAGGTAAAGACATTTATATTGCATGTTCATTCTGTACTTCCCAGCCGTATATAAAACCAAAGGTTCTAGTCATATAATTCACACCATGGTGATAAGTACAGCAAATGAATGATGGGTTAACCAGTTGAAAATAATCTAATATGAAAAGTTACATTTATAATGGGACAATGAGATTTTGAAAATCTATATTTTTTGTCCTGATTATCAATTCTGACACGTCAGAAAGTTCCTAAATTCGTGAGGTGGACTAAACGCTTATTTATTTCATTCCAGTGACGCTTTTGCTGATTTCAAGTGATTTTATTTGCCGTATCGTAACGTCCCTTTTTGAGGCACAAGCGTTTATGTAAATGTTCTCGTTCGGGGTGACGACACGATACATTTGAAATGAGCTAAATAACTTACAAGTGAAATAAGAGAAAGCATTTAGAAACACCAAACTGACCCCAAATAAAGGTGTTCTTTGACCGCAGATTCCGCTCCGCTTTCACGTTAAGGTTGGTGATGATTTGCATTAGATTTTGACAAACAGCGTGTGGCCAATTTTCATCAAATGCATAAAAAAAGCTCAATTATACACAAAGGCAAAACAGTTTGGATCAATCACTATAAAATCTTTCAGCACTTTTAAACATTTCAACAAGCTTTTAATTACACAGAACATATTTGTACTTTACACCGGTGCGTCTTAAACAGACTTTCAGTATAAAATATTGTGCATCAAAATCAACACATGAAAGCAGCAACATGAGGGGAGCTGAGATTGTGTCAGTTTACTTCCCCACATCTTCCTGGCAGCACAACTTAAAAGGCAATAAATTAAGAGTGTTTATGTTGAATACAGCTGTGAGGACATAAAGACGACAGTTTTTAGCCGTGTTACAACATTCACTCACCACAGGGTTTGTTTTCCCTCGTTGGTGAAACTCTCACCACAGAAGAGGGGAACTTTGTCTCTTTGACCTTTCAGAGTTTCGACGGAACGTTTCACTGACAGAAAGATTCCACGTCACGTTTCCACATCGTGTACCTTGCAATTGAAATTTAAAAATTGATCGTTTGGAGATTAAATGTGGAAAAATGAACTGTGAGCTCGGGCCATGCAGTTGAATTAGAGATGTTGTCATTGTAGTCGCCAATTAAATCAGAACATCCAACGTCTTCGTAAATGCTTTGGACAAACGTGACCTTGTACGGAGTAATAATGACTTCATAAGACTCATCGTTATCAATTCATTCTGGGGTTTCACCCAACTTGCAAAAGAATTATTCATTTTGAGTATTTCTTCTACTTTGTAGCGTCACTCCATTTGTAAACACTTCATCAAATATGACTGAAAACAGGGTTTCCACAACGAGGTTAAATGAGTCAACAAAAAACAAACTGCTGTAAACACCCCCCCAGAAGCACTGCACACCTCACACACACGTCCAGTGGGATCCTCATTGATAAACGCCACCGATTCAGACGTGCGGGGGGGGGGTGATCAGCCATGCAATGGATCCTCGTCCATAAAGTCTTGAAGCCGTCAGTTCTTTATGGCGCCAAAGAAATGAACATAAGAAGTTTTTGATAGAACTGCTTGTTTGTTTTCTTTTCCTTTCTTCTGTGATTTGGATTCCAGTTATCACACCGCCGCCCCCTCGCCCGCCGTATCCACCTTTTGGCGTTTCCCTTATTGCCCCGCGGCATCAGTTGTTATGGCAACAGGAGTAGAAATACGAGTCCTTCTTCTGGTCCAAGTCCACTCCCGTCTCCTCCGCTGAAAAACAGGAAGCGACTTCATGTTCATGGCTACTTGTTTTCAGTTGTTTTTTGTGCTAAGCTAGGCTAATCCCCTTGATCGCACCTTAAGTGATTGTGGTACATTTAATACAGTGTAGAAGTACTCATCACTACTTATCAGTAAAAGTAGACACACAGCGGCCGTTTCAGAGTTATTTATGCTACTGGATTCTAATGAGTGAGGCATCAATGGGCACCTTTTCTCTTTAGCTAATAAATGAGCGACTACAGGTGGAGTTGGAACGACCTCCACAACATTGTTTTCCAGAAAACAGCAATCAACAATGAAAAAAAATAAAAAAATCGAAATCCTCGTTGGACGCAGGTTCCCCTGCATGCAAGCAAAGGCCGCTCAAACGAAGTGGTCGGCATGTTTAATACGTACTGGGACAGTCACCTGTCATATACTGGAAGGCGCTGGTGTTGTAATCCTCCGCGACTCTCTGGAACAGCTCGTCTGTCGGGCGGATGAAAGAATGGAGCCATGTTAGCGTGTCATTAGTTAAGCTGCACTGTATTACTTCACGGTCTCATCGGTGTGCCGGTTTCTCTTTTCTGATCAGCGAAGCTGGGAAAGCGCTGGCGAGCGGGAGGGCGCTGGCGAGCGGTCGAGTGCTGTCGAGCATCACGGAGCAGGAATGAGTGGCGGCCGCTCGGTGGCTTATCATTGACATGGATTTGACTCTGTCATCAAGGTCAAATTCTGAAAAAAAGCAGGCGGCTGAGGAGCGTTGTTCGCGGGTTAAAAAGCCGTTTATAGGCGATTTGTTTAAATAGTCCATTAACTATTTAGAATGCATGGTTTGCTTTGAGATTGTCTCGCTTGACTCATAACCTGCACGTCTTATTTATGCACTTCCTTTTTCACAATCATTCAAGAGGCAGATTTCCAAATAGCAGACACTTCACTCTTGCCCACTTTGATGGTACTAATCATTTCTGTTATTCAGTTCTCTATCCTTCAGCTGGGAGGCCATTTGTTGGAAGCTCCTCCCACATCTCACAGTCGATGTGCAACATGGGCCCCCGGCTGTTGAAGTGACGCATTTTTGGACAACCACACGAAGCGGTCGGTCACATCCTTCTTAATGCTTTAATAAGACCTTATTCTGCAGTTAAGGCTTCAACTCTCGACCATCGTGACCTGAGGGACGCTCATCCCCCCCGTGTCACGAGTTGAATCATTTATTAGTTTTCTGGTGGAATGATAATCTAAAATGTTAGAACGACGTAATGGTCCAAGTATTGTTGAGGTTTGAGGACTCTTACCGATCTGAAAGAATACAGTGTGATTTCTTTATCATTAGCAAATCTAAATGTGAAATTGGGATTACATCGCAGCTCAGCTTCTACCTTTATAGTTCACCTCATTTCTTAATAACGTCGTTAAATTAGTAAACTATTTACAAGTTGACGTGCGTGTTTGAAAGGGGGAATTCAAAAGTGGTTAACCTGCTAAGATGAGGCTTCCTGTTCAAATGTTCCAAACTGACTTCTGATGAGCGTATTTCCTGAGTTGGAAGGGGGGGAGGGGGTTGTTACAGTAATAAAATGCGTTTGGGCCCCATAAGAACATTGGTCAATATCAGAGTTGTGAGGAAAACTCACTTCCTCCAGAATGAACACAGCCGTGTTCTCGGTGTTAGAAGCGCCGTGTTAGAAGCGCCCTGCGGGACGACTGGACGCACGACTCACCCACGTTATTTCCCGTTTTGCTGGAGGTCTCGACGTGCACGGCGCCGATTTCTGTGAAGCAAAGCGAAACGGTTATAAAAATCAGTCAGGCGGGTTTGAAAGAGTCTGCACGCCAACTGCGGCCGATTGAGGTCAAACATCTCTTAATACCCTTTAACCGTGTTCAGCAGGTTTACAAGAATCATTCCCCAGTTGGGGCAGTAACCGAATTTCAGAAATGACCGTGTAAATAGTGGAACCGTTTTTCAGGTTTAAAGATTAACTCGGTTTAACACGGCCAGAATGTCGAGCCTCAAACTAGTTCCTCAGGGTTCGCAGAGGTCAGTTCGAGATCTTTTGGCTTTTACCCGTTTCTCAGTTGAAAGGTCTGAAAGTCTGAAAGCATGAGGGGGAAACCACGAGGAACTAAATGGCCAGGAATTAGGACCCAGAGTTGTGCAATTAGTCCATTAGTACAATGAAAACAAGTCTTGTATGATATTGAACTAAAAAAAATGTTTATCTATTTGATTTTTTTCTGGCCTTTTTAAAGATAAAACCATTTTTTATGCTGTTTTGTGCTACTACTAAATAAAGAAAGCTGCATTAATGTGAATGAAACTACTTGTACCCGAGGAGGAGGGTTAATTGCGGTTCTCACCGTCAGCAAAGTCCTGCGCGTCGTGGTGGTCGATCTGCCGCAGGCTTCGATCCCCCTGGATCAGGTCGCTCTTCGTGCCGCACAGGTAGATCTTACAGTGCTGGACAGACGAGACAAACATACCACGATGTCACTGAGCTAAATGCGTGTACGTGTGTATATATCTGGTGCACATCGGTATGCACCTGGATGTTAAACCTAAATGCTTTTGAAAGGTATCATAGGATCAAATGTCTGAACAGATTCATCGTCGCGTTTCCTTATTCTTTCATCGGGTATTTTCTGGCTTTTCAGCAAACATCTTAACGATGAAGGATAAAAAGATAAAAACCGCCCGCTTTTATTTAACTCCAGACTTACTTCCTCACAGTTCTGCAGCTCCTTCACCCAGAACCGAGCTCGCTGGAAGCTGCTGGTGTCAGTCATATCTGAAAGTCCAAAACAACACGCATGTAAACACAACGCCTCGTCCTGAAGTCAAAAGGTTCCTTTGTTGGGCGACGCTCGAAATAACATCTGCGGTCGTCCCGATACTTGAACGAATTCACCTGCTGTCGCTATCAGCGGTACTCGGTTCCCCTTTGAAACACCACAAAAACGAACCACGTGCACACAGTTCAGTTTTGTCCATCTACAGATGCATATAGCCCCCCGCCCCAGGTTGTGGACCGCTTAGGGCCACTGGGGCGTAGGTTTTTACCGTAGCAGACGATGGCGGCCCGGGCTCCTCTGTAGTAGATCCTGCTCATGGCCTCGTAGCGCTCTGATCCCGCCGTGTCCTGAGTGAGACGGTAGGGAGAGAAAAACGCTGAGATCCACCTTCCAGCTGCCCTTTGAAGTCCTTTGGAACGTCTCGGTCCTTACTTCTGGCATCTGATAAGAATTATTTAGTCTACATTCCTGCAAACCCCATTCAGGCTTTGAATGCTTTGTTACCCAACAGTGTGACGGACGCCAAAGTCATTGCCCCTAAAGGCAGTGGAATCACTTGTTATCGTCCACACGATAACGCAGGTAGAAATAAAACAACGTATAAATACATGACGATGGGAAGGAAAACTCTACTATTATTTACTAAAACTGACAATTGTTTCTTTGGTTTAGTTTCTGACACAGAAGAATTAGCCGTTCTGTGCGTGTATTATATGTATGATCAACGGTACCTTGATAACTTAATCAAAGTTTATCGTGTTAAGATTTTACTTAAGTAAGATCAGTCTCAAAGCTACATGTTCACTGAAAACGTGAAATACCTTTTCAAGTGAGTGCAATTCATAGATTATTGGAAATTTGTATAAAAACGTAAAAGTCCATGGATGGAAGAAATGAATTAGCTGTGGTTGAGTTGCATTGGGGGCGATGTAGGCTTGAAAGACGATTAAAAAAAAAGCCTCCCTAAAAGGCACATCAGGCAGCCTGGAACTCACCCATATTCCCAGCGTGATCACCTTCTCCCCAACCTGGATGGGTTTGGCAACAAAAGCAGCACCGATAGTCTGTCAGGAAGAGAAAATAAGCATCAGGTACTCATGGATGGGAATGCTGGGAGACTCTGTACACTATAGAACTTATTTTATAAATTAAATCTATAACAACGAAAAGGGCGATGGGGCGTCTGAGAGCTGTAACAGTTTTGCGTATTTGGGTCTTTGCATTTGGGTGCATGCTCAGTCGACTGGATGTAGACTCATGCAAAAAAATCCCGCCCAGAAGCTTTAAGCCGTATGAAGTCGAGTCGGAATTTCACAAACGAAAGTAAATCCTAGAGCTGGAAAACCCGACGTAGGGGTTCACGGTCAGCTACAACAGCAACGGAGTTGTGTAACATTAGAAGACCACGACTTGAGTGAATAGAAATTCCCACTTTGCAGTTTGGCTTTGTTTACTGTCACGCCCCTTTGACTAAATACTTTCCAAAGCCACTGCACTTCCTAATGAAACGGTGGAGTCATAGAAACGCGAGAGAGGCACGTCTGAAAGGCTCCAGCATTTGAAATCCCAGGTTCCCGTAGAAATGCTCGTCCGGTGGAGCACGTGAACATCAGTTTCGCGAGAGCGGCTTCTGTGCTTCCAGACGGTCACAGACTCGAGCCGGACGTGGACATCGAAGCGAAGGCAGCAGACACTCACGTTCTGGTAGGGCCCGACCAGGAAGCGATGGTGGACGTATCTCTCCACCAGGCTGGTCTTGCCCACGCTCTCCTTTCCCAGCATGACCACTTTGGCGTCCACGCGCATCGCACTCATGGTGACTGGAGGGTCAGAAATTCAAAAACTCCATTAAAAAAAAAAAAAAAAGAAATCACATTGTAAACTTTCTGGGATGTTTACCAAATTATTTCACGTCTTCTACTTGAGTGTATCCTCTGTTGTGATGATACACATATTTCGACTCATTCATCTTATTAAGATATGGTACAAAAAAAATAAGTAAAACTAAACGATTATTCCCACAACTCGATCTGACTTGGTGGTAAAGAATAGGACTTATAACGAAAATTCAGTACATTTTTCTTAAAAACAATCGTCTGGAGGTGTCTACTTAATTAAATAACTATTTATGAATACACCCTGATAAATACGAGTAATTTTGTAATGTGGTGGAAGCAAAAATAAAACGTTAAATGTATTTCACATGCGTCACAATATTACAGTATTAAATCATTATATGGTATAGTAGAATACTTTTGTAACACCTCGTTCGCTTAGGCAAAGGCAGGAATAACAGTATTACTTGTATTACTCAGCTTGTACTCTTGGACTTTTAGTTTGGTAAAAAACAACAACAACTGTGGTGGTGAAGAAACGAGTATTTCTTCACCACCGTCCCCGTAGAACGAGAGAAAAACAGCAGCCCACCTTAGCTAACCGAGCTAACACTCACCTGCTAGCTAGCTTCAATCAACAACCCGCCCTCGACATGCCAAGACGAACCGATCCGAAACCAACTGCGGCCGTGAGACCGGTTTTAGTCCGCCGGTGACCGACAAACCGCTTGTCATCTGCCCGCTGAAGGGGCCCCCGGGAGCGGCCGCTAGCCGCTGGCTGTTGCGCAACGCGTTAAATAAGCGGCGGCTGGAACGACGTTGACCGGAAAGACACGGCGGGCCCGGTGACAGAAGCTCGGTTCTCTGGCGATAATCTCGGCCGACCGGCGAGGATCAGCTGGCCCGGAGCAGGGATGTTTGTGAGAGGGTGGAATCCTCCATCGGAGCTTTTTGTTTAGGTAGGAACCAAAGAGGTGGGAACCAAAGAGACGAAGGTTCCCAGGAGACGGAAGGACCAGAAGTGACCCAATCACCGGATGTGTTGATCGTTTTTTTTCTTTTTGTGTTTATGTAGCCTATTTGACTTTATTTGTTAATATTAACGATTAAGTGTAAAATTGCAGACGTACAATTTCACACGTTGTATTGTCCATCAGAAACAGCAAAATACATACGTTCAAACTAAAATACCACAGGATAAAGAAGATATAAACAAAATAAAAAGAAGAAAAATAGAACACAACAAATAATACAAATGTTGTGAACTTACACTTGTGAATATAGAGTTTGTCCATAACTAGGACAACTTTTGTCAACATTACCTTTATTGTTGTTTGAAAGTAACTAGGAGTGTAAGATAACCATCTCATAAAGGTAGTATACAGTATATATAAATATATATTTACCAACCAAAATAACAAGTGTATGTTTTATTACCTACCAATGCAAATTAAATATACGACTTAGATAAAATATGAGAACACAGAACAATATGAGTTTGTCTCTGACAGCTATAAAAGCCTGTATCCGTTTGGCTCCTCTGGATCACTTTGTCGATGTTTTGCATTTATTTTTAGTCACCAAATTGGAATTCTGCATAACATCAAAACACTATTCAAACAAAGGAATAAATTCAAATATTTGATTCATGTAATTTAGAGATTAAATACTAATATGGGTTAGTTGACTAATACAACTACTGATAATTGACTAATTGTTCGAGCTTTGTCATTTATTTATTTATTTTATTTTCTGGAACTTTCTGGAATAAACCAATAATCAATTGACCATAAAAAAGAATAAAGATAATCAACAACGAAACCAGTATTAAAAGCGGCAATACGTACGTAGTTACGGAAATAGAAGTACATCGTGATATCTTTAAGAATTTATTAAACAATAACGTTTTAATCTATACATCTTTAGGCACAAGCATCGATCGTTTAGAGAGGTTGGAATAACTCGATTGGTCTAAACCGCTAAGCGACGCCTCTCAGGCTGCAGCTGTGATTGGCTCAGCCTCCCCGGGGTCCCGCCCACCATCCAGCATCCAACACCAACACACGCTCACACGCCGCCAGAGAGAGAGAAAGAGGACCCAACATGGCCGAAGCAGAAGGAAGCGAGTTAACTTCTGTTGGTATTTTCCAGGAGATCTTCACCTCCCCGCTGAACCTCACCCTGCTCGGCCTCTGTCTCTTCCTCCTCTACAAGATCTTCCGCGGGGACAAACCACCGGACCCCGGCGAGGTGGAGCCGCAGCTGCCCAAACTGAAAAAGAGAGACTTCACCCTCGCAGAGTTGAAGCCCTACGACGGACTCCAGGACCCGAGGATCCTCATGGCCGTCAACGGGAAAGTGTTCGACGTGACCAGAGGGAAGAAGTTCTACGGCCCAGGTAACAACAGCCCGTTGAGATGCAACGTTACCGAGCCGTTTTTAACCCCCCCCCCGCTTCTTGAACGGTTCCGAATTTAAAGCCACCAACGGACGCTCGCGTGCGACAGCCGTTGCGCGGCGGAACTGCAGCCGGTGGCTCTAAACGTTACGTTATGTCCCCCCCCCCCCCCCCCCCCCGCGATACGTTTTTCTTTGCAGGAGCGAGGCTAAACCCACGTAGGATCTTACACACGAGTTAAACCATGTGTTTTCTGAAAGGGAATTTGCCCCGTCATCGCTCGTAGTTTCTGCTGCCTGGAAACTGCCGCAGAGTCAGACCTCCGCTTTAATATCTTATCTCCGATTGTAACCTCTGTTGTCTGTAACCTCTGACCGACATGGTATCTCACTGTCACGCAGACCTTTTCAGTGCACAGTGCACGTCCACCCCGAGGCCCGAAATCCTGCTGAGGCTTGTGTTAGTGAAGGAATTTGGCTTATTTTAAACGACGTGCATGGAAGGGAGGTCTTCGGTCCTCAAGGACACTTTGATAACACTCATGGCTGTTGCAGGCTGTTAAACATCAGGGGCTTTGTGGTGGTAAACAGTTTTGGTGCTGACATAAAAGTCGCACATCAATGGCCTTTTTTTTTTCAGGCAGGCTCAATAACTCAAATAACTTGACTTAAATCTTAACACAAGTCTGTAGTAACGCCACACGAGAACCAGAATACAGCCTACAAGTTGTTATTCAAACCAGTTTTGTACATTGCTATTCTCAGCACATCTCTTTTAAAGACCCAAACTGAAAATGTGCTCCGGTCCATTGTGTCCTACTGAAGACGAAAGTCTTCTAAGACTCTTCAGGAATAAATCTTTCAATTTAAGGGAGGCGGGGGAGGGGGCAAAGCTCCGCTGTTTACGAGTTGGTCAATGTAGCCAGTATTACTCAAAAAGGAGGCCATGGTTCATTTGTTGGGGACTATTTAAAAAAACAAAACATTGAGACTAAATAAACAAGGAGCATTTCACTGTGTGACATTTTAATCTGTTTTTGGGAAACAGTGGAGTCAATTCATTGTCGGTCGTCATCTTTGACCGTCTCTGCATTTCAAAGCTCTTTCCCGTCTGGTTTTGCAAACCTATTGTAACTCGACATCAGGCCACCAAACAGAAAATCTCCCGTAAAACAAGCTGAAAATGATCCGGCCTGGATGCCGTTGTGGCTTCGGCCTTCACCTCACTGTATCTCCACTGTGTCGCAGAGGGGCCGTACGGAGTGTTTGCGGGCCGAGATGCGTCCAGGGGTCTGGCCACGTTCTGCCTGGAGAAGGAGGCCCTGAAAGACGAACACGACGACCTGTCCGACCTGAACACCATGCAGCAAGAGAGCCTCTCCGAGTGGGAGACCCAGTTCACTAGTGAGTACGAGATGTGGCGTTACACCTTTTTTTTTTAAAAACACGGTTATTGTGGACTGTGTTTTCACTGCAATGCATCGCTACCGTGGTAACTTCCCTCCATGTTCACCGTCTGGTTTTTATTTAAAGCTGATGTGATGTTTTCATCTCTTGTCGCACTGAAGAGATGAAAACATCCGATCTGCGCTAAAGGAACAGTTCACTTCGCCAACATTAAAAGATCAAACAAACAGTCACAGTTACACAATCTTTGCTGCATTTTCCCACCCGGTGAGGTTTGACTAGAGCTCCTTTGATAATATCATATCTTGGAGACTCCCGAGTCAAGTGGCTTGTTATTTGAACAGATAGAAATCCTAATGCGGTGTCCTTGAATCTCTTACCGGTAATTTAGTTTTTTCATCCCCTGTCTTCCATTACAGGTAAGTACGACTACATCGGCAAGCTCCTGAAACCAGGGGACGAGCCCGCTGAGTACACAGACGACGACGACGAGGGAAAGGACAAAAAGACGGACTAGAAACGTATTGAGAGAACTGGGGGGGGGGATGGCCGATGCCTTAATGTTGGTTTGTAATTTTGATGCCCGTTTCCTCCAATCCTCTGTATGTATTCTAGTACTTTTGGACTGTCACGATCCTGACTAAACTACATTCATCTCCTTTGACCTCGTGGCACTAACCGTTAAACGTGCTGCATACTGGTGTGTCGTCGTCAAGAGTTTTACCAGTCGGCTGAAAAACAGATCCGTTAAATTGTTGGACCAATTCCACTGCCGTTTATGTATCATGTCGGTTGAGAAGAGATAATCCACGGCTCTGTCGTACACTTTGTTAATATCGCTGCTGACGTATCGCAGGTTGGACACATTCCTTTCAGTCAAGATTTGGCTCAGTTCACATTGAAATGAATTATCTCAGGAAGTAGTTTAACAAAAAAAAATAGCAAAAATATTTTGAGGTTCTGGAGGTTGTTTTTTTCTTCAGAAAACATTTAATGCGCTCATTGTTGGAACAAAAGCTAGCTAGACTGGCCGACAAGTTTCCGTGACAGTAGATCTCTTTCTAGTGTCAACGTTAGGAAGGATGAAAAATGCAAAATCTTTCATTTGGAAAGCTTTGGTAAGCCTGCATTTCCCACCGTAGTGTGTTTTATCAACACAAATGTGAAGTAAGCTGGAAAAAAACACTGCTATACATATCTACATATATATGTATGTGTATAATATATATTTTCTACGCTAACCACATGAGCTTTGTTCAGTTATGTGACAAGTGAACGGTTTCCTGTCTGTGTTTTACACAATGAGTGTATTGTTAACCCATCAAATGTATCTGCTGGTCTCAATTCTATGATGGTGCTTTAGAGCCATTGTAGGTACAAAAAAAGAACGGAGTGATTACAGGGCAGGGGGAATATTCCATTAAGAAACAACTCCGTTGAAATCGTCATGAATCCATTTCTGATGGAAATTTGATTAATTGCTGAGATTATTGCGTCAATTCACAAAAACAATGATAAAGAACTACTTTAGTTTATTTAGCTATTCCTGATATTTTTGTTAATTTGAAATTTGAACCTCTGGCCCTGACTCTGTAGTTAGTGTTAGTTTGTTGTCCTCCAAGGAGCTTGTACACTGCATTGAATTTCTCCTGTCCGTTAATACATTTGTAGAATACTTTCTTGTAATAAATGTTAATTTTCTAAATGTAAAATCTACAGATCCCTATTATACGTTCTATTAACCAGTGAACTCATTTATCAAGCAAAAAAAATACTCTGGTTTCACCTCCTCCAATAGAAGAAGTTGCCGCTTTTCTAACGTTAATCACCGATTATGATTTCCATCCTTTTTAAGATTGTTGACTGTAGGTCGGATGAAACAAGTAATGTGCAATGATATACTACAAAACCGCAAATGATAAAATAAGAAAGCCTCCCTGTTGTGCGTCACTTTAGTTCTCACAACTTCTGCTTTTCACATGGTGCAGTGTGTGTTGGAATGATGATACTACGAAAGAAATGGCTACACTTATAAACACGAGGAAGTCCAAGCTGCTGCCGGTAATTTTATAAAATCAGTTTCAGTTATTCCCCTTTCAGCTGAGGGCTTGTTTACATTCTTTTTGACACTAAATCCATGATCTGAAGTCTGAAAAAAGTCATTAAAGACTATTTTTGGGAGCCGTCCAATACTTTCAAAAGATTTTTTTAGTAATACTTTCCATACATCTGAAGTGTTCTAAATCATTATTGAATACGGAACACAATGGTTTTAAATGTTAAACCTGTTCTGCCTTTGTCGACGGTGAGTCATTGGCCACTTTCCCAAAATACATTGAGAGGGAATATATTCAGTATGATGTACATAAACTAAATGCCATAATTCTTCAAATGATATTTTGATTTAATAAAGGATATTACAAAATAAAGTGTCTTTATTTCAATACCTTTTAGGAAATCTCTGTACAATGAGCATGTTCTTTATGCTTCACACTCCTAACTTTTGTGCATTATATTTTATATTTTGCACAAATCTAAACTGCTTTTATTAGGAAATAAGTTATAGGAATAAAATATTTGTTCATATGTCAGTCTCTAAATTGAAATGTTTCTTCCCTTTTCATCTCATTTTAAATCTGTTTATCCTTGTGTACCGAAATACAAAGGGAAATACTTTTCATGGCATTAACCCGTATTGTAACTCAATTCTCTACCAACATTGCGGTTTACTGTGCAACTATATGTAGCCCAGTAGTTCCTCAGCACATTACTTCATTTTGTAAAGCACATATCTTTAGTTGATAAATCTTTACATCAACCATATTGCATGTGCGTGAGGTGAATAGAGATGAAAGGTGATCATGAGAATGTAATATAAATTTCAACAACAGTATCTAAGCCGATCGCTGAAAAGCACGGATAGCCACGGCTAACTATGCTGGGTCAATTCTATTCTAAAACTATTTAGAGTTGGTTTAAAAAAAGGATGTCAGAAGTGGGATTTGAACCCACGCCTCCATTCGGAGACCAGAATTCCCAACTCTGAGGAAGGAGTTCAGTCCTTGAGTCTGGCGCCTTAGACCACTCGGCCATCCTGACACTACGGTTCTGGAGAGCCGTACTTTTAATATATAGATATATTTAGCAACCATGTTCATTTTGCTCTGGTTTTGACTTCGCCACAATGTCTTGCTGTATCACGTTTTATGTTTTGTCTGACTACTATTCTAAAAATGAGCTTTTAACTACCATTTCCAACCTTTTAAACGTAGCGTCGATAAATCGGCGGAGGCTCACATCCGGTGTCGTAACTTCCGTTTCGTCTACGCTCGGCGGCCTTATTGCACTTCCGTTTGTCAAGGATATCTGAAATTACCAGACCGTTCAACATGTACCGGTTTGCTAAGGCTGCGGTGAACCTCACCGGTAAGGAACGCGTGTGTGTTTCATGATCGATGTATGTTGTCTACGTTTGTTTATGAGAACCGACAGTTTGATATCAGGTGACTAAATATTAGACCGGAGCGTCTTTGGATGGCGACAAAGGTCAGCGTGCTAACGCTGCTAGCTAAGCTAACGTTAGCAGCTCTCGCTAAAGTCGTAATAATATGTTTCGATAAAAGCACATGTATTCATCTAAATGACTGACCCAAATGAACATTCGAGATTCAAACTACATGCATACACAGGCTGAATGAAACTGCTAACGTTACATGAAGTAGCTGTTATTAAAATGCACATAGGTTAGCACAATAAGATGTCTATCTTTGTATCATTCCTTCTCTGATGTATTAACGTTACGGCAAACGTCAGTTCTAAAAATATGTAACGTTACTTTGCTATAGTAACTCAATTGAATATAACAACAAAGTTGTCTAGATGAGGTCCATGAAGGGCAAATAAGGACACGCTTATCCTCTGGTATACTATATCAGATATAATCAGGTTTGTTTTATTGCGATATGCCCAATTTTAATTTCCATTCGTTTGATGAGTAATAATAATTAACTCAAATTGAATTGTAGTAGAAAGTAAAACCACACAAATATGACGGCACACAGACTACAACACTGGCTAGACTAGATAATGACGATTATGATCATATTACCTTTGATCACACCACCAGTTGTACCGTTTGTTTGTTTGTTTTTGTTTTTTACATGTGTATTTATTTTTTAACTTCAGCATTGGCTAATTATATTGGCAGAAGAAACTCCACTGTGTGGATAAATTTAGAACAATAAAATTAGCGATGCTGCCCTATAAATGCCATTGTGTTCTGATGCCTTCCAGGTCAGGCCGCAAGGCAGGCGAGGCACGGATCCACCGCTCCCCCCGACTTCCATCAAAAGTACGGCAACGGCCTGATGGTCGGTGGGTTGGTCTTCTGCACCGCTGTGTGGGGATACGTAAGTGGTGCTCTCCTGTCAGGTCACATTCATTTATATCTACAGGCTTGGAATTGTATTGCAATAACAAGGTCTTAAAGTTGGCCGTTTCCTTTTGCTGTTTTGGGCAGGTGCTGACTCAAACTGGCATCACCTGGAATCTTTCCCCTATTGGGAAGGTCATGCCCAAACCATGGAGGGAGCCCGAGGAGTGAAGATCTGCCATGACAGACCTGCATCATAAACCTTCTGATTGTACAGATGAATAACGATGAATGCCTGTGTTTATTCCAACAAGTTAGTTTGTCCAAATAAATTAAGAGTGATCCTTTTCGTTGTTGTAGTCTGGTCTGTGGTAACTCTAAACTCTAAGTTCCTGGGTCTCTCAGTTAAAAAGATATTTGTAGTGCTAGAGTTAACATATTACACGTGAGTGCATGTGTTCTGAATTTTACTACACCGCATTGAAAAATGAAGTCATTGTGAACAATGGCTCCTTTAAGAGGGTTGTATTTTCCCAGAATATAGTTTCTTTACTAACAAATGTAATATTTTAATATTAAGGAATATGGAATTCTCTGTTGGTATTGACCATATTTTTTGTGTAAGAAACTATTTATGTAAAATGTGTTTAATTGAAAAGTACTTTGCTTTGGAATGTTGGTGGATTAGAAGTAAATAATAACCAGAAAAGGAAAATACTTATACATACTTACAACATATACATCCGAATGAATGATTATGTGACACTTAGACCGGCACACAACCATTTTTAAAGTTATTTAAATTTGCGTGCATTAACTGACTCCAAAATAAGATCCAAGTTCCAGTATCGTTAAAATGATTGAATGATACCAATGAGTGTACGCTGTAAGCGTCATCAAGGGGCGCGGCCTTACGCCCAATAACAGAAAGCAACGACATCCAATTAAATACCTCGGCGTCTTCTCACCGTTACCAATCAGCGCACAGGAAGGCGTGTCCTGTTTCCGCCCCGCTGCTATTCCTCCTCGCTAAGGTCACTGCTGTCACTCGGTAGCTAACCGGCTGAGAAGGAAGCGGAGGAGACCCAGCGAAGAGAAGGCGGAGAAAAACAAGCAACATGTCTCTGTCGAACAAACTCACCCTGGACAAGGTGGACGTCAAAGCCAAGCGGGTTATTATGAGGTGAGCGGCTACTGCGTAGCTAGCCGAGCCGTTTAGCTAACCTTAGTTAAACGGGAAGGGAATTATTTGGCATTAGCTAGCAAAAAGTTAGCTTGAATTCGAAGATGTTCTGCTGCCAAATAAGTTCTGTGGTCTAAAATACATCCAGTTAGCTGCTGAGCAGATGGTTAACGGCCTAACGCGTTGTCTGTCGCGTTTTCCCCGTGTCACAGTACGTGCCTGTGAGGAGATGCTGAATGGATGCATCCACCATGCAGGTTAAATTAGTCAATCCTTTAAAACTATCACTGCAATAATCCTGTCAATGTGTCTGTGACATATTGCCCTGATCATCTGGGCAAATACCGTCGTAATCGAGATTATTTATTTCCCCATGAATCTGTATTTGTTCATAACGTTTTTAAAAGCCACCTTACTCTGCTTGAGTATTTCATGTTGCAGATTCAGAAGGTATTTTTTTTATAATGCTGGGTTATTCTAATTAGTTTTTAAAAACATATTTTGCATTAATAACTCATGTCATTTTCAGAGGTAACATGTATTAAGTATTAAGTATGAAGTACCTTTTTCAAATCTATACTGTACCTCATAATTGTATTTAAGCACCAGACTTGCGTAAAATTTGCATTCCAGTTAGTGGAGCTGGATTACTTTATACACTGCGGAGTAGCTTGACCTCTAATAATGCATCATAATTCTCAATCCTAATATAATTTATTCCCATTTGTATACGTCGGCCATTGGCACCTGAGTCCCACGGCCTCCTTGGAAATGTCACAGGTCATGTTGGTTTGCTCAGATTGGTGATGCAATGAACCGCAGCATAGGACAAGGTTCGCCAGCAGCGGCCTCCAGCTCGCGCTGCTCCGTGTTAAAAGGTCAAACTCCCTCATTGGTTCGGTCTCCGTGTAGAGGCAATGAGTTCCTTGGTATCGGAGCCGTCACGTTATTACTTCAATGCACCCCTGGCTGTAGACGGGGAGACGTCGTTTGAGCTGCTCGTCCAGAATAAAAAGAAGGAAGGAAGGCGTGACGTTGCCGTAGAGACCCGGTAGTATCCCAAAGAAATCTTTTTCAAAATAAAGTAGTGGAGGCTTATCTGAGAGAGAAACTTTTGTAATGAAGTCAGAGAAACTCTTCTTGATGAAATCTTTTGTTCTTTGGTCTTATGTAGGCCATTAGCTAAGGTGTGCGTGCGAGTCAAGTGTGAACATGTTTAGCCGATGCAGCCAAACCTTCCATGATATTCGGGTCTGCTCTGAAGAGCAACCGTTTGGCACAATAGAAGAGCGGAAAACTACAGCAGCTGTTTTAATGGCGTGAGAGCTGCTGAATCGCTGACTGCGGGGCTTCAGGCTCAGACAATGGACCGCCGTTCTAGCATCGCGTGCGTGCATGCGTGCGTGCGTGAAGGCTGACTATGTGTCTCAGTAAATCCGGGTCTCTGACACAGAAGTGGAGGTAGTTATGTAACTGCCTGGAGTAGGAGGGATGCAGCATGTTCTCGTGAGCTGCCCGTGTGCACCGCTTCATGATCCACCAGCTCGGTGGTCAGACACTGAACGGGTCTGATTGAAGTACCAGAATGTGACGCAGCAGCAAACAAAGTTGTTTGTAGTGCCAGAAATGAACTTTGCTACAAAGTAATGGAACGTAAAATAAAGTGTCATTCTAGTTTTCTTTTCTTTTTAGGGTCGACTTCAACGTTCCCATGAAGGACAAGCAGATCACAAACAACCAGAGGTAAAGTCTCATTTCTGAAGCAGGGTGTCTGCTTTAACAAAATAGACATCTTCTTTAAAAAGCATTCATTTTATAAGATGATCTCACGGTTTCTTTGAGCGACGCGTTGGCATCAAATTGTTGTTTGTCAGGATCAAGGCGGCTGTTCCCAGCATCCAACACTGCCTGGACAACGGGGCCAAATCCGTGGTGTTGATGAGCCATCTGGGTCGCCCCGACGGAAACTTTGTGCCCGAGAAATACTCGCTGGAGCCCGTCGCTGCCGAGCTCAAGACTCTGCTGGGGAGGTTAGTTGATGGAGTGACCTAGTTTATAAAGTCCATAACTAGAATCTTTATTTATAATCCATTTCAATGAACTGATTTCTATTCAGACAAAGAGGCCACCGTAAATCAATATCTTCCTCCTGTCATCGCATTTTAACTTCTGCAACAAATTCATTTTATGTGGCCCCTTCACAATAAAAGCCACTGATTTTTGCTCCGTGTACTGAGTAACATTTAATGCCTCTTTATAGAATTCACTTTTTTCTTGACAATTTTTCATTATTTGACCCATACACAAAAAAGAGCGCAAACTGAGTAAAACAATCTAAACTAAACAGAAGCTTTTGTCAAATTTTCAACATAAAAATCAACCAAATGCACCCTGCTATGCTGCTGAGAATGAAGAATCCTGTTTCCTCTGACTCTGCAGAGATGTCACCTTCCTGAAGGACTGTGTGGGTGCGGAGGTGGAAGCCGCGTGCGCCGATCCCGCCACCGGATCCGTCTTCCTGCTGGAGAACCTCCGCTTCCACGTCGCCGAGGAGGGAAAGGGCAAGGATGCCTCCGGTAACAAGGTGAGGCGTCATCCTGCATGTTCTGATCAAGGGAACAGCATTTTTTTTCTGCAGAATTTGTCACAAATCGAATGCTTCAATCCTGCAACTTATGATTTGAGATGCGTGGAGCCGGAGTTGTTGGGTGGTTTTCTTCAGGGACACATTTAGCACCTGTTGCCGCCGGCACCATTTGTGTGTAGTGTTGTTTCACAAGGTGAGGAAGCAGTGGTGCTCCTAGCTAACTGACTTTTTCAACTCTGATTAAAACACAATCACGGTCTGGGATTTCTAAACTTAAGCACTAAAAAAATGTCCTTAATCCTAAGGGACAAATCTAATCTCAACATGCAGATGAGGCTGCATGTTTTATCTTAATCAAATTAAAGTACAAATGTCAAAAGAATTCCTGCGACCCGCTTGGTCTGGATTTTTTTTTTTTGCTGGGTCACCCCGGAGAAAAACGCAGAGTCGCTGCAGCATCCGTCTGAAATGGCTGCGTCACCGTCTGATGGCGCCACAGTGAGGGGAGGTGCAAACACTCTGGTGCTGTCAGACAAAAAAACCTTTCATTTGCATCCGACTGCATGTTGGCTTTTGTTTTCAGTGATTTAAATGCATTTTAATTCACTTAGTTCTCATTCTACAGGAAATGACACTGTTTAGTGAACGTTTAAAAATTAAAACACTACATGGTTTTCAGAAGATACTCAGAGTAATTCTCCAAATGAGGTTGCGTGATCCTCCAGAATACGCGGGCTTTGCCTCCGTATGTCTCGATCCTGGCTCGCGCCTGTAGAGCAGCAGCTTTGACCCGCTGACATTTATCCTGAAGGTCAGCGCCGCTGTCCCGGCGGGATGTGTTGCTTTTCCTGGCCTGGTTGGTATGCGGCCTGTGGGGGTTGGTTTTCTACTGTGCTGCTGGACTATCAGACTTTATCACAATCACTACTTATCATTCATTGAACTACATGCGCAGCAAAGACCAGCGTGGCCTTCCCAACACACACTGGAAGACCAGCAGCACCTTTCTGATAATGTGTAGTACGTACGAATCCGCAGCAAATGTGTGAGACTCGAGTGACATTTGAACAACTCTCGAGCTCTTGTGGCTTTTTTTTTTTTTTCCGCCCTTCAGTTTGTGAGGGCAGCAGGAACCTGATCGACAATGAGACACACATAACAAACACCCACACAGCCAATGTAAAGTCTTTTTCCGTGTCTTTTGTCTCGTCCCTCAGACCAAGGCCTCTCAGGGGGACATCGACTCCTTCAGGGCGTCTCTGTCCAAACTGGGCGACGTCTACGTCAACGACGCCTTCGGCACGGCTCACCGAGCCCACAGGTGAGCGGCGCGCTCATTTACCGGAGGACGCAGGTCGTGACCTCTGTGGTGACGTGACTCCTCCTGCTGCTCTCCCTCAGCTCCATGGTGGGAGTGAATCTGCCCCAGAAGGCGGCCGGCTTCCTGATGAAGAAGGAGCTGGACTACTTCGCCATGGCTCTGGAGAAACCCAAGAGGCCCTTCCTGGCCATCCTGGGAGGGTGAGTGCAGCTCTGTTGGAGTGATTTTTTTATTTCTTTTTTTGGTTGAATCGTGTCTGAAATTGTGATCTTAAGAAAATAGTGATCAGAATGTTTATTGGAACTGAACCATATTTTACAACATAATCACAGCCACCTTTTTGTCTTTATCCAATGAGGCATGAATGAGGCTCACGGAATCAGCAACATCTTAAAATGTCATATTTGCTTACATTTTATCAATCAATCGAATAAATGGCAGATTAATCAAATAAGGATATTCATTTGTTGCATCCCTAAAGCGGAGACCAAATCTCATTATTTTAATAACCTCGGGTCTGACGTTCTATGAACCAGTGTAGATGTACACATCACTCTACTACCTTTACTCATGTGTGCCGTCTCTTGTCTTTGTCTCAGTGCAAAGGTGAAAGATAAGATCCAGCTGATCAACAACATGTTGGATCAAGTCGACGAGATGATCATCGGTGGCGGCATGGCCTTCACCTTCCTCAAAGTCCTCAACAACATGGAGGTGAGCAGGACAAAAAACACACTTGTGCATTCGAACACTTGCTTTTCTCCTCCAGGCGACAGCACATTTTATTACAATTAATATTTTGAATAATAATCTCAACGCATAATGGAGTGTTGAAATAATCTCATTTTAGACTTTCTCCAGGAAGTACAGTTAATAATTTCAAAATAGGTATGCCTGACCGTCTGTAAACAATAAAACATGTTCCACAGAGAAAATGAATACATGTATTCTTACAACACAAAATGATTATTTTAAAGTTTAAAAAATGGAGGCAGACGTCTCAAATCATACGTACACATGGATCGATACCACAGTGACGCAGTGTGGAAACGTCTTTTGTTTGTCAAACAAAAGTTCTCCTTTCATATCTTTCTTGGGAGGTGAAATTTTGGTCGATCGTGACGGCAACAAAACAAAGAACCTTCTTTATCTCTGCTGGCCGTGAACAGCTTTCATTGAACAAGATACGAGGTGATGTTCTCCCTCCTCAGATCGGTACCTCCCTGTTCGACGAGGAGGGCGCCGGCATCGTCAAGGACCTGATGGCCAAAGCGGAGAAGAACGGCGTCAAGATCACGCTGCCCGTCGACTTCGTCACCGCTGAAAAGTTTGATGAGAAAGCCGCCGTCGGCACGGCGACCGTTGCTGCCGGCATCCCCACCGGCTGGATGGTAAGACACTTTTTCTTCATCTTCTCCTTTACAGATTGTTTTTGCCTCCATTGCAGTTCATTGTAATTTCCCCTGCAGGGTTTGGACTGTGGACCGGCGAGCTCTAAGGCCTACGGGGAGGCGGTGGCCAGGGCCAAGCAGATCGTGTGGAACGGCCCAGTCGGTGTGTTTGAGTGGGAAAACTTTGCCAAAGGGACGAAAGACCTGATGGACAAGGTGGTGGAGGTGACCAAATCCGGCTGCATCACGATCATCGGTAAGAGACGAAATTCCCCACTAAAGACTATCAATTATCGGGAAAAACCTGAGGCCGCCCCCAAAGGTGAACTGGTTCTTTGTAAACACTAGACAAATGTCTAACTAATAAACCTTTTTAACACGTGTGATGTGTCTCCATGTGCAGGCGGGGGCGACACCGCCACCTGCTGCGCCAAGTGGAACACGGAAGACAAGGTCAGCCATGTTAGCACGGGAGGCGGCGCCAGCCTGGAGCTGCTGGAGGGTGAGCGACTGAGACATGATGTTCATTCCAAATAGATAAAAATAAAAAAACTCCGACCCATGATGAGGAAATGTTTCCACTGACTGTCCATCTGTCCCTTTTCAGGTAAAGTCCTGCCCGGTGTGGACTCCCTGAGCAGCGCCTAAACTTCCCGTCAGCAAGCTGGTGTTTTGCGTGAATGTGTGAGGATGTGTGTGTTTGTCTGTGTGTGTGTGTTTGTGTGTGTGTATTGTTTCACTTTTGCGTAACCACCCACTTGGAAACATCTCTGCATTAGCCACAGTAAATTTAACCAAACGGTTCATTTGATGTACGTAGTCGTTCAGTCTTTAAAAACCTTTCTTTGTTTCCGGCGCCGTGTCGATGTCAACTGATCTGTTCAGATGAATAAATCCGTCTCTGTAAACGTTTGTTGCCGTTTCCTCTTTTTTTAACTTGCAGTGAAATAGTTTTCACCGCAAGTGAAATAATCCTGCAGTTATAAAACTTTTGTGTTATTTTGTTTGTTACATGTAGAAAGTTGAGTAACGATAACAAAATATATATATATATATCATGTACATGTTTATTATACAGAGTTCAAGTGGTGTTATTAATAAATACTGTATGAATGAAGGAAAAGATTATAAACAAACCAAATCTTGTTATTTAGAACACAAATAAATACATTGGAAAAGTCATGTGATGATTTGGATTTTCTATATTTAACTTTACTGTTCTTTAAACAAGCTTAACTGACCCGTGGAGCGTTCTTGAATGTAATGTTTAGAAGTCACAAGTAACGTGACTTGGATCATTGGCGCCTTCCTAAATTGTCCAGTGGATCTAGAAGCACTAAGGTGCCGGCTCCACTTTAACACGCAATCAAGGTCCTTGGTAGTTTTATTTACATCGTCGTTCAGAGTGCAGGCCGAGGTCCACGTCCCGTGCAGTCAGTCGTGTTCGTTCACGTAGTCCGGATCACCTGAAAAGCAGGTTTAGGAATCTTTTAGAGGGATGGTTTGAACCCTCTGACGTGGCTTGCGTGTGGAATTATTACGTCACCAAGCCTCATTAACCAGATTTTGTTGGCATAAATTATTTTGGAGTTTTCCCCCATCAGATTCACACAGAACCAAGTAACCTACAACTTAATGAGTTATTCATGGCACTCACTGTCGTTTTGCTCCTCCACGACTTGGTCCAGAAACTCTGAGTTCTCGTAGTCGTCGTCCTCTGTTTGAACGAGTTAAACTAAAGCGTTAAATGTTTCCGACATTTGAACTTATTTCCATGCGAGTATTCTGATTCAGTGATTGACTCACCATATGTACTTAATGGAGGTGATGGAACCTGGACGTTAGCATAGACACCTGGATCAGCATCCGCATCTTTAAAAGTACACAAAAAAGGGCATTTAATGAATGCTAAACAAAAGAATAATTAGTTTTGAACATATGTTCTTGTCTTTTATATGTCAATGCATTTTATTTTTTTGTACGTAGTTTAAATGGTAAAATGCAGATACACACCAGTTGTGTCCTGTTCATTTTCGTACACTGCTTCGGAGAGTGGAGCTCTATAAGACAATATACCAATATGATGCGTTTTAACCGCTTGTTCTGTTTTTACACATGTATATAAAACCTTTTTTTTTATGAGAAAATGTAGAAACAAAACCTTCAAACTTACACATATGTGTGTTCCGCGCATCCTGTGTGAGCTGCAGCAACACAGTAACAACATGTGAGAATTATCACTTTTAAAGATGGATGTATTCATTTGTGTGTGTGTGCGAATTTACCATTTGAGATATTTTGATAGTCCAACTGATCGTCCATTTCAGCTGCAGCACATGATGATTCAATTCAACACTGTGCAGAGTAATGTGTGCAGAGATTTGACGTGAGTATAAACGAGGATCTTACCTGTTGACAAGTCCCCAAATTCCTCTCTCGTTTCACTGCAAAACAAATTAAACCCCATATTTCTGTCAAGACAAACCTTTGAATTTGTCTCCCGGCAGAGAAGAAAGCTCTGAATGGAAACATGAATCGTTCTCTAACTGAAATCAGTGTTTTGTGTAAATTCATTTTTATGTACAGATAAAAAAACCAAAGAGATGAAAAGGCCATTGGCCCCCTGTACCCAGTCCTGATGCTAAGCTAAGCTAGCCGCGTCGCTCAAGCTCTGCACCGAATGTACAGACATGCGGTTCACATCGAGCTTATTCCAACAGGAAATGTTCCTCTAAAGATACATTCGTTTCTGCAGGATTAGCAGATGTGAGTCAGAGAATACGTACGCTGCGAGGGAAGTGATCTGATTCGGTCTGGTGACTGAAAAATAAAATTGCAAAAGTTCAGTTAAACGAGGTCTGAAAAGTAAGACGTCGAACAAAACTAGTGCATTCACTAGAACAATATTCCTCTGTGATAATAATAGTTAGGTAAATCAAAAGTACATTCAATTGGTCCTTAAACACATGAAATGTCAAATCACATTGAGGTAAACAATGAAAAGAAATAAATTCTCACTTGCCTGTTTTTGATTGTGTCACAGCAAACACGCTCCCCCCACGTTGGCTGTCAGGGTACAAATAAAACAACTCAAATATACATTAAATATCAGAAGAATTCACTAAAATGCTGCTATGGGACAGACAGAAGAAAAATGAAACTACACATGTTCTATAAATTTAATACATTTTCCATAACTAAGGCATCCATCAATCAAAACCTTTATCAAGTCTATATGGTGTCAATAATATCTCTGCACACATGGTTTGAGATCCAATGAAGCGACACAGGACGACACTCACAACGTCTGCGGGTTGTATATTTGATGCTCCTCGTGTATGATCTCTGCAAGAAATACAAGGCGGATCAACGAGTAGCTCGTGGTACTTTCAACCCATAGTATGATTAAACACGTTGGTCTGATCGGCTCGTAAGAGGGACTCGTATTCACTCTGAACGAGGTGGCCTGGATGATGTATGCAGGTTGGTGAGGAGTGGAATCTTTGTCGCGTTCCATTGGAGGCGCTTCAGCATTAAGTGGGTTCCGCCTGTGTGTTCTTGTGTGCATTTTCAATTTGGACACACAAAATAAACCTCAATCAAACTGCTCAAAATGAAATAACGGATAAAAAAGCTTTCGCTGTTGTCTGAGGTGGAGAGGTTGTGTCAAGCCGATCAGAAACAGACTTATTGAAGGAACGACGACGTGCTGGAACTACTAATACTAGTACTAATAGTACTATTCTATTATACTATTATATACTACTATTATACCAGTACTATTCAAGGACTCTGAGTACATCAATACTTTTCCATTTCTGCCCCATCAAGACACATTTAGCCACTTTGCCATTACACTATTTGCACACCAAACATATTTGACATGATATTATGTTATTTATTAAACTGTCCAACAGTTTATACAAGCAGAGCTGAAAGGACAGTTTAATTAATTCATTTTCTAACTGACAGGAAGATAATTTGCTACTCTTGGTGTTTTTTTTTCTCCTCCTCCTCCTCCGCCAACGACAACAGTACGTTCCCATTTTACATTAATGCGTAATAATAATATATGATAGTATAGCGGTCACAGGGGACATTTTTCTTGCACTGGGCACTTTTTTGACGTAGAGGACTTGACTGAACTGGAATCACTCCGATTCAAGTGCAACTGTGTCTGTAGACTGTATTACCATTTACAATTTTGCACTCACTTGATTTCTTTTTGCATCGCAGGCAGAGGACAGACAGCAGACTCAAGCCCATCACCAATACGACGCACAGGGCTGCAGCCAGCGGACTGGAGTCCCCGATCATACCTAAAACACACAGAGGAATATAAGAAATGAGCAACAAATAAAAGCTCTTACGTGACCTTTGAGGTGGACTGACTTTAGCTGCCGTCTGCAGGTGAAGCACTTCAACAGGTCTTGTGCGCCATGGTCGAAATGGCGGCTGCTGCTTTCCTGTTAGCGAGGCCGAGGGGTCCACAGGATGTGGTGGTCCAAAGCGAAACTGAAACCCGTGGGCCTCCTTGTATGCGAGACGCACACTCGAACAGTGCAGTGACATTGAAGAGCAGGGGACGCGCCTCAGTGCGCGTTGAACTAATATAAAACCCAAAGACGGGTTCCCATCACGTGTGGATAATGTTTTCCTGTCAGGGTGCTTTCTAACGCTCCTCTGTAAATTATGCTTCTGCTGTATTTCACAAGGAAAGAGTGAACTTTTTACTTACTTTTACCTACACTTTGCAGACTTTTGATTGTTAACCCAAAGAATAACCAACTAACAAATGAGGATTTATTGTTAGAAACCAGCCTACTGCTTGTTATGTCCGCTCCCTCTAAACAAAAGCTTCTTATATGTTATATGTTGCAAAGTTATGTCAATTAAAACTGACCTGGAAGAAGAGATGGATGCATTGAGTCTGGTGGGTCTGGTGAGTTTGATGAGTGTGGTGGTGGTGAACATTCGCCCATTGTGGCCGTAAAGAACAGAAAATAAACACCTGCTAAAACATCGTCGTTTTAAGGAACAATTTAGATAAGAGATTCTCATTTCCAAAACGTCTTCTCACCTGTTCTTGAGTCATAGACAATTAAGAAAACCGTTTGAACTAAAAGGAAGCCGGACTTAAGAGAAAATGTATGTACTCAAGTAAAGTACCTAAAAATTGTTCTTATGGAGTACTTTTTAGTTTCAGTGAAATCCAACATGTCACCCAGAAATATATCTTGATTCCTTATATTACACCACAGTAGAGTAAAAGCCCTGCATTCATTATGGTACTTGGGTAAAAGTACATCAAGTGTTGGCATAATGATGCAAAACCTGCTTGAAACACAATCCACATGCAACAAAATGGTCCCTTCCATTGTGTAGTGTTATATCATCGGATAATTACTTTTAATAAAATAAAAGAGCTTGTGTTCACTCGTCGATGAGAAAAAAGTGTCACAAGTTTTATGTGTAACCAGACTATGAAAACACTCCATCACTAGTAATAGCATATATTCAAGGAAGAATTACACACAAAGTACACAGGTCAAATCCACACATTTCAAGATATACAGTAGGAGACATCAAATGTCTCAAAGGACAGATGTCTCATATGTTTGCTGTGTTTTACCTTCAGTGGTCCGGCTGCCTTCATTGCTCAGTTTGTTCCATTTTCAGCACTTGCCCCCAATAGATTAGATTAGATTCAACTTTGATCTACAATCTCTTTGTGGTGGGAAGAAAAACATCCCTCTGGTTCAGCTTAAATTATTCTGCATGCTTCATGCTCAAAAAATACAAAAAGATTTGCTCCCAGCTGTTGTTGTGACCAGTGACATTTCAATTACAGAATAAGTAATAATGTTTAATTGTATATCAATAAGTTATTGAAATGTTTTACAATGGCGTTGAGAATAATTTTTCCACAATAATAAACTTATAAACAAACATGACTTTGCTAGCCTTTCAGCCTAAACCAGTAAGGCTCTTCTATTAACAATTTAACTTCATATCGTAGTTGATTTTGGATTCCTCGCGGTCCAAGAGCGTTCTTTGGCGTGATGACGTCACGACGCGTCACCAGACGTACGCGCACGTCGGCGCGCCCACAGCGCCGAGGGAGCCCGAAACAGTTGAACGCCACGGACCTTGTAGTCCTTTAATTCTTGAATTACTCGAAGCGGAATGCCCTTACTTCCGCTCTGAACGCAGGGGGTGTGTTCGCGCCCCCCCCCCCCCCCCCACACGCCGTCCCCTCCCACCCCCTGCTTTTGTTGTTGGGTTTTGTTGTTGTTGTTGTTGTCGTCTCCTCGTCCCTGACCCTGATTTATTCTCTCGGGCGCTGCCGCCCGACGGTTGGTCCGCCGCGCGCATGCAGCGGAATGGCTCGAGCGGCTCCAACGGTTCTGACAGCTGCGGCGGCGGGAGGGGCCGCCAAGCGCTGTCCTTCAGCCCGCTGCCCGCCGCCGCCGCCGCCGCCGCCACCACCACGCGGGTCCGGCGCTTCGTCCAGGAGCGGCGGGCGCTGCCGCTACCCAGGGTGATGGTGGTGTTCTCGGGCGCGAGCGACACCGAGAAACCGGGCGATGCCATGTCAAGTTCGGACTCCGCCGCGGAGGATGACTTCCGAAAGCCGGCCTCCCCGGCGCCGAGCTTCGCCCTCAGCAAGCCGCTCCGCTCGTCGCTCAACACCCCGGAGCCGGAGGTAGGGCAGGGCCGCTTTACCACACCGTTATACCGGGCGGGGGAGGGGGGGGAATCACGCTCACCCGGCACACAACCGGTATAACTGTGCTGACATGCTGTGTAACTTAGTTTGAAACATGAGCAGTTAAACTGGTAGCAAGGGGACAATACATCCTAATCCATAATAATAACCCATTTATTGGCTGGTTTTGTATTGTTAGTAATATAAAACCTACAACGCAACTACGGTTGTCAAATAAGTGTAGTAGAGTGTGACGTATTTGAGCTGTAGTTTGTGCAGTCGCAGTAGGGGGGGATACTAAAATAGCTCAAAATTAGCATAGTACTTGATGCTCAGTTAATTTCATCCAATTTTAAATAGCACACACAAACATACGACTTATTAGTCAATGGATAAGAGCCGTTTCCACCACACCATGAAAGTATAAGAAATACCCATATACATATACGCTATACTAGTGTGCACAACATATTATTATGCTTCCAAATATTAACTGTATACGGCTTTTTCCACGGGGGCGAGAGGTGGGTTGAGCTCGCTGCGCCTCTTCCTGATTGGCCGCCACGTGTGTCACATGACTCGAGCGAACGAGCGACCATGTGATCTAGCAGAATAATCCTCTTACTTCTGAGGTGTGAGAGTAAAGCCAAGGAGAGAGTATTCACAGGTCTTTATATATAGATGTGTTCAATTAGCATTTCTTTTTAAAGTGTTTAAACTTAAGTACTACTCCAACCATTAATTAATTAAACTTATGATGTAATGCAGCACTAGTCAGTATACAAAGAGGAACCAAATATACAAAACAAAATGAACAAAAAATTATGCCAGTGAGATTATTTTTTTATACACTGCACATTTATTTATTTGCCATCTATGTACATTTTTCTTTTAATTGTTGGTATAGAATAAATACATTTAACCACCACAATTTTCTGCATGTTTGAAAGCTTCAAGTCTTAATAGTGTATTAAACACAAACCAGACGTTTTTATAATTGAAACAAATTATTCAAACAATGAAAAACACATCTACGCTGTTTACTGTTGTGTGTTACAATCATAAGAGTCTCTTTTCTTTCCATATTTCCTGTAGTTTCCAGAGGTCATCTCTCTGAACGTTGGGGGTACGTTCTTCACCACCCGCCTGTCCACCCTGCGGCGATACGAGGACACGATGTTAGCCGCCATGTTCAGCGGGCGTCATTACATCCCACGTGATGCTGAGGGACGCTACTTCATCGATCGGGATGGAACATATTTTGCGTGAGTTGCACTGTGTGTAAAATATTTTCAAACCAACAAATCAAGAGGGGATTATGCTATTTATTCAATCAAGATTACTGTACAGTCGGTTCAACGAGAATATAAGAAATCACCACGTATTTTTTCATTGTGAAGAGCACAAGAATGCAGCCGATAACATGCATGAATGATAGCAGGCAAGGTGTCGCTTTCAGTAAAGCTCTTCCTCAAACCTCAAAATAGAAATGAATTTGATCTGGGAATATTAGATGCAATTACTTGACTCTCAAATCAGTTCTCTTCAATCTCACCACTAAGTAGACTGCAGATGGCCCAAAGAAAAAACAGACAGACTCAATATTTAGTGCCCGATTGCACCAGTTTTATTCAAATATCATCATTGTTTCCTTCTTCTTTTGTCACCAAAACCTTTACTAAGAAAACATTTGGTGTCGGAATTATACAGATTTCCTCTATTAAAATAGACCTTAATGAATGTGAGAAGAAAAAACAGCTTATTCCAAACTTTGTTGACAGTAGTATTTACCTGTTAAGGGAAAAGTTGCAGTAATATGTCAGAAAAGAAGTGTGAGAATGTGAGGTTTGTGAATGCCAACTGGAGGGAGCTGACAATAACAAAAGTTCACACTCTGCCATCTTAAAGGGTTTCATAAAACTGCAGATGGCGGTTCATTATTTTCTGACAGGCTTCTGTCAGTGCAATAAACTCCTTTGCATATCTATTTCTGTGCTTGTTTTCTGATGCATAGGCATGCAGCGGGTAGTTACACAAGAGCCTTCAGTCACAGCCTAGTGGTATTTTGCATTGGTGAGGGTTGAACGGGGAAAAAACTGATTAAAATCTTGAGCCGTGTGCATTTCAGCTACTGACATCAACAGATCTTCACTGAGATTTGTACTTAAACAAAACCTTTTGTACTAAACTGCAGAGACCCCAAGAAAAAAACTAATTTATATTCAATTAAGAGGAAAGCTTCTTTTTAATAATTGCAAAACAACAAACAGTGGATTTCCCCAGGGGCCCACAAACAGCTACGGTGCTATTTACATGTATTTGTATACTCTAATTTACATTCATACTTTTCTATTTGGCCTATTCCACTACGTGTGTAACTTGTTTTTGTGCTTTGCATCTTTTGGGTACTGTGAATGTTGCATCATTCCTTTTATATGTTTTGCACGGAAGCCCAGGAGAAACACTGTTTAGTTCCTGTGTGTACTGATCTGTATACAGATATCTCATCTTAGACATGAAGCCAGCAACACAAAACGATAACATGAAGTGCTGGATAATGGATAAAATATGATAAATAAATGACATTTAATTTTAAATTAGCTAAAATTGACATGAATTACATACCAAAGACACAATTAGTGAAGCATTGTGGTTGTTTTTTGGCCCCTCAATTCCATTGTGGGGCTAAAGAAAACAGCGTAATTTGCTAAATTTGAACAATAATACAACAGTTAAAAGAAAAATATTGTTGCCAACTCTCTTCCAATGAAAGCAGCGGCGTTGGCCCCAAGTCTGTAACACCGATGTCCCGTCAGCCTTCGCTCACAAAGCAGCTCCAGTAAAATGATCGTCACGAGCGTAAACAACAAACACGGCGGCTCTATTCACTGCTGTCGAGCTGGCAGCTGGTGGAAGACTGATTGCAGTCTGGTGGGATGTAGCCCCTTCAGGACGTTCTGGGCAATATATTCAACAGAGACATTTCACTCATAACGCTCAAACGTCACGCTGACGGCGTCGCCAGAGGAGAAAAGTCATCAGGATCACCGCTGTCAGTAAGCGTCATCGTCTGCGCAACATCAACGTCCATACAGCGTTTTATAAGATATTTAATGCTGGACTGAAGAGAGCTGCTAGCGTTGCTAAAAGGCCAAAGCAAAACGGTTTAAATATTCAACACGTGCGAATTATGTAAGCGGAAGGTTGAGGCGAGGTCAGTCCTGTACGAATGTGTCTGAGAAAGGTTGTTTGCATGAAAGATTCATATACAAGGAGCTAGCAGAATGAGACAAGAGGCCGTATGTAGCTAAATAAAGTACTAAAACCAGACAGAAGGCGTTACAGGTGGGACGTACAACCACCCCGTGTTTTTGTGGAAATTGCTGTTTAATAAATCTTCCAGTTGCTGTTGTGTTGCACACTGCGGCAGTTTCTGTTTTTCCTCTGGGACGTCTCTTTTTCTGCATTGGTTTTATCCTCAATGTTTACCGGCGAGTATGTTACTGCATGAGCAGAGACACAAATAAAATAGACCACATAATTCAGATAAATGCATTTATTATTTATAAATAAGATAGTTTGGGCTGCAAAACAAAAAGAATTGGAGAGAAGAGCGAACCATAGTTGGTGGGCTCTAAATATTAAGTGGGTGTGTTTTTCTTTGTGCCGGCTGCAGTTTGCTAAGTGGATATATTGAAGCGGCGTACGGTCAGTTGACATTCCAGTAGTGTTGGAGTAGTCGGAAATATAGTTTTAACTGCATCAGTTTGAGACAACATCCGTTTCCATTTAAAGGGACATCCTGAACTTCCTGCGAGAGGGCGAGCTTCCTCACAGGGACCGCGTGCGAGCGGTGCACAGAGAGGCTCAGTTCTACTCCATCGGCCCGCTGCTGGACAGCCTGGAGGACACGCAGCCGCTCACCGGGGAGAAAGTCCGGCAGGCCTTCCTCGACCTGATGCCCTACTACAGAGGTACGCAGAGCCGGGTTGAGGTTTGGTTGCCCACGGCGACAGCACATAATACACAGACGTTGCTCTCTTAAGAGATGTTTTACCTACATGTCCGAACCATCTTCGTCATCTCAGACAATCTGGAGCGCATCGTGGAGATCGCCAAGCTGAGGGCCATGCAGAAGAAGGCGCGGTTCGCCAAGCTGAAGATCTGCGTCTACAAGGAGGAGATGCCCATCACGCCGTACGAGCGGCCTCTGTTTAACTCTCTGCGCTTCGAGCGCTCGGACAGCGAGGCCAAGCTCTTTGAGCACCACTGCGAGGTGGACGTCTCCTTCGGACCGTGGGAGGCCGTGGCGGACGTCTACGACCTGCTGCACTGCATCGTCAGCGACCTGGCCGAGCGCGGCATCACCGCCGAGCAGCAGTGCATCGGCGTCTGCGACAAGCACCTGATCAACCATTACTACTGCAAGAGGCCCATCTACGAGTTCAAGATCACGTGGTGGTGAGGGGCCGGGGGGGGGGGGGGGGGAGGGGGTGGGCAGCCGATGGGACCAAAATGCCAGAGAACGGGGGTTCCCTTTTTACTACAACTAGACCGATATTGGTTTTTGTATTGAAGTTGCCAATATTTTGTGCTGATGTCTTAAAATGTGACCCTTTAAATCACGCTTTGACATTTTATTTTAGAAATGAAAAACACTAATTAAACTCAGTTGCTAGTTTATCGAGGCCGCCTACAATGCAGTCTTAACACAACAGTCCTGTATTAAATCTTTCATTTAAAACTTAATGAAGTGGGATTTATTGCAGCACTGTTTTGAACTTCTTTAGTTTAACTTAAGTCTGTCTCATTTCCTGGTAACTGAGGGTTTATACCAAAGCAACACTACTACTTTTAAGAGTAACACAGCACCACTTTAGTCCTGTTTTTGTTGACCTGCATTGATTTAACTCGTCGCCTTGATGCAGTGATGTAAACGTGTGAAATCACTCTCGGTAAAGATGTGTCAAAAACTCACTTCCGGCTCACGAGGAAGAGGTGAAACATGTCGACATTCAAACATGAAAAGGGAAAACAAACCTACTGTTTGGTGTACCACAAAGGTACTATTTAAAGTTACACCTTAAGCTAAATGCTTAACTCTACTCTCCTTTGGCTCTCTGCGGTCTATTGAACAGCGTTTAGGAGAGCCGAGCGCTGATCAATAAAACCTTTCACCTCCAGAAACGTCCCGCACAGCATAATCAGAGTTTTGTATCCAACGGAAACACAAACAAAACTATTTTTGCTATGATATTGCTGAACAAAGCATTTTTAGATTACCCTCAGAAATGCTTCGGATGAAGCTGCACAGGAGTTTCTTTTGCTGTCTTTTAGACGGATGCTGTTAAAGTCTGTTTGCACTGATATGTTTACATTTTTTCATTCACGTCATTTGATAAAACCCCTTTTCTGGGACGAGGTGAGCTGCATAAAGACTTCAGGCTGCTTTTGTGGGAACTATTCCTTCAAGTTACTATTCAAAGGTCTAACCTTAAATCAGGATATTATTGGTAGGTTTCGGTCCGGCACATTCTCTGTTGTTACATGCAAGTTAAAGAAAAGTGAACTAAAGTTGCTTCATGTTGCAGCGTTGGTTGAATGGGGCCCGATAATCAGCTTCTTTTCACAACTTTATATCAATCTTTATACACTTCAAATGCAAAAACGTGCAGGTGTAAAAACTACAAATACTGTTTGTTGGGGTTCTTTGGATGAACATTTACGGTTGTAGACACAATGACGATGTATTGAAGCCTCAAAAAACTGAAGCCTGAGATGACGCATCAGACTTTGGTCGCACGACTGTTTATTTCATTTAAAAGTTCATCTTTGACGTTGGCCTAACTTTATTATTATTTTTGATTTATTTTTCTTACTTAGTTTTTCCCTTAGCTGAATTTGTACGTGATCGAGTTCAGAACCGCCTCATATTTCCTCAGTGAGTAAATTACACTAGTTAATATTGAATATTGTAAGTAAGTATGAAGTCAAATCTTTATTTTTTAGGAATAAGTTTTGTTTCAGGATGCAAATGAAGTGTTTAATCTGCTCCTTTTTGGATTAACAGAGTATATTTTAATTATGCAACCTCCTGAGGAGCTTGTTTTTAAAGATGTGAGAAATGTTGGGGTTGTATCCATGTTGTCGCTCTTCACATTTTACTCAAAGTTGCCGGGGATTGAAGGTAGCTGAAGATTTTGCACACAAAGTAAATATTGCTGATGAAATGCAGCCATTTACACTTTCTTCTATTGTTTCCAAGTTAAATAATGTATATATAATATTTAGTAGCTATCAATAGTTATTGCTCTTTATTGTCAACCTCATTCCACCTTTTAAGTTAAGTAAAATGTTCTTCCCTGTACCTGATAGTGAAGTGAAGGCACTCTGTGATTGTAACCAATATGTGATTTTATTTTGTGAAAGAATCTGATAAACAACAATAGAAAGCAACAGTACGGTACATTTATAACATGCTTATTCTAACACATACGAGCGGGAGAGATGCAACACTGCTAATCTTTGTTTACACTGTTATGTTTGCAGTATCTGCGTATTGTTATTTATCTCCTTCTGTTAGCTTCTAGGAAGCTCTTGTTCCATTGTATTATTTGGGTTTAGTTAGTTTGCAAAGAAAAGTAAATGGTATTTTTATTTTTCATGGTTAGTAAAAACAAACTGTGAAATGCTTTTACTGTCCTTTTATTTCGCACGGTCCCGTCCCTCAAAGGTGGGGTTGGTACTCCTGTAAAACTGCATTTAAGAAATCAATTAAAAAAAAAACAAATCAAATAATGACCTGCACAGAAAGTGTCCAAGTCAACAACATGGACAGCCAAACATTTCATTATGGATGTAAACATATGATAAATACTCTCCTCTGTCAGGGGCACCATCCTGGTCCTCGGCCAGGTACTCAAATCAATTCATTTTTGCCGAAAGAAGCAATATACACATCTGCCCCAGATAGAGTTTCATTAATTCATTTCTGTCAGAATTGAATGAGATTTTCAACCAAAATATTATAAAACAAAAAATGTTTCCTAACAAGATGAAGAACCCTGCAGTAAAAGTACTCCGTTACTCTCCGGCGCTGGCAGGTTGTTTAAGTGATCATGGACATGCGGTAGAAGAACACGCTGTTTTCCGTCTCATCACCACCCATGTCTCCGCCCCCCCCTCACTCCACCTCACCCCCTCCCTCCCTCTGAGGGGTGGAGGCTGACTGCTCGGCGCTTCTTCTTTTTTTTTCTCCTCCGGATTGAGGATGGAGGAGTCGGGGCATTAGCGGCTCTTCTCCAGTCGGTCTTCGCGGAAGGAGAGACAGCGGCTCGCCCGACCACGAACCCGCAGCCGGGACGTTTTCTCTTCATGGGACCGAAGCGCCTTTAGGAATGACTCTGCTGCGCGAGGTAACGATGCACCTTTCCTCCCTTTTCCTGTTCGCGTTACTGGCAGCTTGTAATGTAATCATCTACTATCTGTTTCCCCGGGGGAGGGGGGGGGGTTACACAACACAGCCCAATGAGAGATTAATTAAGTGTGATTACGCGCAGGAAATATTAATTATAGGCTACAGCAGACTGGACTCTTTCTTATCCCTTCTTCCTGTTGATGTGATGGAGGTAAAATAAGCTGCCGGTGATGGATTGAAAAAGAGACCAAAAAATGAAGGTGTTCCTGGGCTGTGAGAGCCCGCAGGCCGCGGCGGCCCTCGGGTCTCCCCGGGAGGACCTCCAGCGACCAGCTCCTCTGGTGCGTTAAAGGAAACACGGAGAAAACGCACATAAAGAAGATTTTTATTGTTATCTGGAGCTCTTGCGTCTCCATGACAACGGCCCGTCGTTTAGCTTATCCCCGCTCTACAACAAAATCCTGTTTATTATGCTCATTACATGCAGGTCAACACCCCCCCCCCACCCCCCCACCACCACATCGAACACACAGGTGGTCCCTGTTAACAGGCTGACCAGGTGGGCCACTTTATTACCTTTGTTATCCTCTCACCAGCTAAATCTGTTCAAATACATGTTTCGCTATAGGAGTAAAAGTGCAGGATCATTTTTTATGATACAAAAATGAAAAGAAAAGAAAAATATCTCCTTATGCATAAACAAATACCATCAGGCGATGAAGTGATTAATCGGCTGTAATTGTATAAACTGTTGAGTGGTTCACTTTATAACAAAGGATAATATTTTATCGACTATACATGTGTTTTATGCATTAAAGTTGCTGCCAGATGTAAAGCGCATTAAGGATCCTGTGATAACAGTGGACGGTCGTCCAGCTTGCATCACTTTAAATAATGGGGCTCGATGCGCCACACGGAAGAACAGCAGTACATTGTTTTATGTAACCAAAAGTGCTTCATTATTCTGCCGTTTATATAATCAGTTATTAAACGCGACTGGTTCTGATCCATCAGTCTTCCCCCGAGAACCAAAGAGCTAAAAGAAATATGATAAAATCCTACGATTTAAACATTGTTTCTTTGAGACATTCATGCCTGTGCTCAGCTCTTGGTGTGGGCCTAAAAATAGCGCGTATCCCCACGTGGCCGCCGCTCGATTTTGGATCCACGTTGGGATATAGCTGCCTGGTTAACAGCCTCCTCCACACAGCAGAGATGATTCAGAATCAATATCATGAGCGAGTGTGTACCGATCAATAGACTTTCCTTAGAGTCCCTCCGACACGGTGCCTGATGTGGGCCCACATCTCACCTCAGGCCGAGAGCGTTCTACAATTGTAAATGGGCCCCTTGGTTCTAGCTATCTTTTAGGATACGGATAGTGTTTTTCTCTCTTTTCGTCGAAAGAATCCAATTACAATCCACGTACGTCAGAGTCTTTTGTTTGGAATTGTGCGTCTAAGTATATGCTGTTATTCCCCATTGTGACATTGTTCCCGCCCTCGATATGATGGAAGGTTTTCACCCCCCCGTCCACCTTCGACCAGTTCGTTTTGAGCATAATTTGGTTTTGAGCTCCATGAGTCCTTTGGCTGTAATTTAATCTTAACATGTGTTTTACAGTTATGTTTAATACAGAAAAGCACCTTACTGGGCTGGTTGTAAATTAAATCTGCACACACACACACACACACATCACTGAGAGACGTATGAAGTTATTTGCAGTTGTGTTTATTGCAGCCCATCTAATTGAAGTGCACTTGCGGTTTTTGGTCTCCATCTCCTAAAGGAAATTTCCAAAACGATGAAATGAAACATGCTAAAAATGTTTTGTACGGCCGCGGGTCATTTCAGGGCCAGATGATGATAACGTCTCTCACATTAATTCATTGTTAGAGCAACAAAGAACATTCATTTTGTGTTGACTTTGGCTGCTTCTGCGGACAAAATCACCTCGTGAAAGATCTGTTCTTCGTCACTTTCTTTGGTCTGTTCTTTTCTTTTTTTCTCTTTGCTGATCCTTCCACTGTATCAGGAAATACAACATCAAATAGAATAACCGCCTCCTGCTTCCTTTTAATTGGCTAACATGCTTTTCACTGACTGAACCGTAGATGGTTTTGTCTGATTTTGCGGGTAATCTGCCCGAGGGACACATTTGTTTTTCCGTTTTTTTTGGGGCTTGGAACGATATTCATATCCCGACCCCGACCAAACACACTCCACGAGTCTGAACCTGACCAGTCCAACAAAGGCAGGCCTAACGAATCGGATATCTACCGGAGCGAAGAATAAAAGAATTAAATTGACAACTAGATTCTTCACAAATAACAGCTTCATGCAGGAAGCAGACATTCAAGGACTATGAGATTATTATGAAACGACATGAAACAGACAGCTGTTATTTAACGCTGCGTGGAGCCTCATCCAGTGCATTCCTGCTTTATTGAAGTACTTTGGTAGACGGTGCCGTGTGTTGCCATGGAAACCAGCCCTGCTCGAGCTCATAATATTCTCCCGTGAATGGTGAGCAGAACGGCTTCAACACACCCATTTGTCCCAGTGGCAAATGACCCGCTGACGGCGGCTTCGGGAGTGTGGAAAAGACATCAGAGGTGTCAAATGATGTTTTTTCCAACTACTTGGGTTCGACCTGACGAACTGACGTCAGTGGTGTTCATTTGTATATTCCCGTGGATGTCGTGATACAAATTATTGCATCAGTTTATTGGTTTATTATTTACCTAAAGTCGCAAAATATATAATATTTGACTCCAAAAGGTAGCAGAGTAGACGTGTAATGTAGCCCAAAATGGACAACTACATATTTCTATTTAAATGCATACTCTCTTGCACTTTTCAAACTACCACTACTACTAGTTACCACCATGATTGTTCTTCTCTGCCAGGCTTGAATCTACCTAGAAACCCCATGGAGCAGGATGTGGAGAGCCCGGCCATCATCAAAAAGCCTAAGTTGCCAAAGCAGGCCCGGGAGGACCTGCCTAAACAGCTGTCAGAAAAGGAAATCTCAAAGAGGGTCCAGCGCTACGTCCGGAAAGACGGCAAGTGCAACGTCCACCACGGTAACGTTCGAGAGACGTACCGCTACCTGACGGACATCTTCACCACGCTAGTCGATCTCAAATGGGGGCTCAACCTGTTCATTTTTGTGCTGGTGTACACCGTGACGTGGCTCTTCTTCGGCTTCATGTGGTGGCTCATCGCGTACCTTCGGGGCGACCTGGAGCACTTGGCAGACAACCAGTGGACTCCGTGCGTCAATAACCTCAACGGGTTCGTTTCAGCCTTTCTGTTCTCCATCGAGACGGAGACCACCATCGGCTACGGGTACAGAGTCATCACGGACAAATGCCCCGAGGGGATCCTCCTGCTTCTGATTCAGTCGGTGCTGGGATCTATCGTCAACGCCTTCATGGTGGGTTGCATGTTTGTCAAAATCTCCCAGCCCAAGAAGCGGGCCGAGACGCTGGTGTTCTCCACCAACGCGGTCATCTCAATGAGGGACGGGCGGCTGTGCCTGATGTTCAGAGTCGGAGACCTGCGGAACTCGCACATCGTGGAGGCCTCCATCAGGGCCAAGCTTATAAAGTCCAAGCAGACCAAGGAAGGGGAGTTCATCCCTTTGAACCAGACGGACATTAACGTGGGTTACAACACGGGCGACGACAGGCTCTTCCTGGTGTCGCCGCTCATCATCTGCCACGAGATAAACCAGAGCAGCCCCTTCTGGGACATCTCGCAGGCCCACCTGAGCCGGGACGACCTGGAGATCGTTGTGATCCTGGAGGGGATGGTGGAGGCCACAGGTGAGTCATCAAATGTTTACGGTTTTGTATTTGTGACGTCATTATGCCTGTATTACAAACAATGGCACCAGTAACCATTAGTCAGTGGTAATATGGGTCTGTCTGTTGATCCACCTCTTTGGGCCTGACTAAAACATCTAGATCTTCATGTCGTACCCTGGAAACATGACAGTTTTGAGTCAGAGACCCTTTTCAAGGGCAGAAGCTGCCTGAGACACTTAGGTCTTTCTTCGGCGTGTGACGAGCACATGAGTGTATGATGTTCATGTCTCCAGGCATGACGTGCCAGGCCAGGAGCTCGTACGTCAGCAGGGAGATCAAGTGGGGCTACCGCTTCACTCCGGTCCTGACCCTGGAGGACGGCTTCTACGAGGTGGACTACAACAGCTTCCACGACATATACGAAACCAACACGCCGGCCTGCAGCGCCAAAGAGCTGGCCGACATGACCAACCGCAGCCGCCTGCCGCTCACCTGGTCCCTGGCCAGCAGGCTGAGCCAGCAGGGGCTGCCGGAGGCCGAGCGAGAGGGCCACGAGGCCAAGACCGGCGCGGCCAACCAGGGGAAGGACCGGCAGCCGGAGAGGAACGGCGACATCGCCAACATAGAGAGCGAGTCCAAAGTGTGAGAGTTTTATTGTGTGGCAGCGCGTCCCTTTTTTGGGACGGCGCAAAGACGAAGACCAAATGAGCACAGCGGGCCGAGTGTTCCTGCACCAACAACTGCCCCCCCCCCCGCCCCGAAAATAAACAAAACGCCCGCTGGGCTGAAAACCCTCTGCGGGAAGTGCATGTTTAATATATAACGTGAGGTCCTCCTGATGAGATTCCTATTATTTTTTCTAATAAGATATTCCTAGGGGCATTTGCATACGTACTATTTTTGTATATAATATGAAATGTTTTGGATTTGTTGCAGTTGTGAATATTTTAACAGATGTTTGATACTACTTCTTTTAGGTTAGTTCGTTATGTCCTCTGCCTTACTATATGAATAAAGCTTTCACTATTTGGTTTCTCAGATATATATATCAGCATGTATAAAGATGATCTGCAGTTTGTGTATCTTGTATTGTGTATATAGTGTTGTGTTACAAGGAACACTTACGTCTCGATGGATGCAAACACTAGTTTAAACCAATGACAATGACTTCTCCACATGATAAATGTTTGCTACGGTACTTACTTATTATTATATTTGCTTTGGAAGCCATGACTTGCTGTTTGCAGCTGGGTGACTTCAGACAATGGCCCTTTAAAAACTGCATCTCGTCACTTTTGCACATTAGAGGCCTCCGGTGGAGAAATTTAGTCTGTTTCAGTCTCCTGAAATCTCTCACGTGTCACCTGACAGTATCAAAAATAAAGAAAATAATGAATTGCATATCATGCACTTAATGCGACATGTTTTATGTGATTATTTGCATCTTATGGTGTTTTTTCAGTAGAAGAAAGTGCTGAAATACTTTAATGAGCTACTCAGATGAAAGAGGTATTTTCAATGAATGTATTTAAAGTCTCATTCTGCAGTACAAATATGTCATGGGACTGATATCTGATAACTCATTGATACTAAATCCTTACTAATGGGGAAAAACGGATTATATTATTATAAATCAAAAGCGCCGGGAGCTCCTGGTCTAATCTCAAATGATGTGTTGTGTATTTTCAAAGAAATTATAAATTTCGAAATAGAAAATATGAAATGTCTGTAATGTATTAGAGTAACAAATATAAAGTATTATAAAACTGTACTCAAGCACAGTTCTTCAGTAAATCTGTCTGTTGAGCAATGTTGCAGACATAAATAAGTAATATTTCCACAAGGTTTTACACATAACATGTTACAAGACAAAGTTCTGCATTGAAAAAAAAAAAAATGAGAGAGATCAGTTTTGTAACAAATATATTTTCAAATGTTTTTATTGAAAGGCAAAACATCACATTTGAGAAACTGAAACCACAAAATATTTCTAATTTTTGCCAAATAAACGCTTTCTAGTGAAAGACGGCATTAGATAACAGTTTTAAATATACAACAGCAAAGCAGTGACCTTTTATAGATTTAGTATTTCTGGGCTTGTGTTTAATTCTACTCTCTGCATGCTTTAACATTTTCAATTTCAATTTTTACTGTGTGGCATCGGTACTTTTACTGAATCTGAACGTCTCCTCGACCCCTCAAACCTCCGATCAATTAGTGTCACTTCGGTGTCTTTATTTTATTTCAAACTGTCAACATCCTTTTCCAACATCAGCATCATTCACCAACCTTTAGTACAATGTGGTTCATTTGAATATTTACACACTAGTTCCGTAGAGCTTTGTTGTCATTCAGCGCAACGCATGAAATGTGATTCTCATCAATAACTTTATTGTGAACACAAAAGTTAGCTTCATAAATCTGCTCAATGAAACTTTCGGTCTCAATTCATTTCACCATTTGTCACTGCATTACACTGCCTGTGTCACTGGCAGTCACCCCAAATACATAAATATAAGTAAATGACCGCTAGACGTGGTTTTGACACCACCTATTCATTGGGCCTTTTTTTCAAAATAAGAGCACGCTGGTCTTTCAAATAATGTTTTTTTTTTTTTTAAACGACATCAAAGGATAAAATTAGAATTAACTGGATAATTTCAGGTTTTCTTACATTATTGACCGTCAATGGCCGAAAAGGGCCCTGATAAGTACACATTATAATTTACAGTAATAGATTATTTTAGTGTATTACAAGTCGCTGAATTAAAATACTAAAAAGATCCTCAAGCAAATGAGTCAACACGAAAACAAAACCACGTGTTGGGCAGCAGACAATCCTTTCCAATCTCATACCGCCAATATGCAAACCATAGAAATCAATATTTAAAACATATTGTGGTTTAGTTTTCTTTCATCTTTTGTATTTCAAAAACTGATTAATGATGAAGGTAAATAAGCTGTTGAATACAGTCGACTCTACAAACAGAGAACAACGTTAAATCATTGTGTTGCTAAAGATAAAAGAACAAGCTTCTTAAAGTTAATTTCATACTCAACAATGATGAGAATATTGTTCCACAGTGGTTCTGTGTTTCTTCTAAATGTGTTACAGCTGGATTTATGTTCAACATTTTACACACATGTTAAACGTATTTAGAGGCAAAGTCCCTCCCCTTCATATTTTTGCCATGGGACCTTATTTTGCAAAAAATAAGTACGGTAGTTGATGACGGGAGACAAATCATGTCAATTTGAAAAGATACTTTCAAAAGTCAAGTCGTAAAATGGTCTTTTTTGAGAAAAAATACGTTAAGTTCATCGCACCGTACACATCTTTCCCTAAATCAAGAGCACTTTGTACTGCACCACGCTGCCACCTCACCTCTCTAATGGAGATTAAAAAAACACACACACAACACGTCACCAAAATACAGACTCGCTGTTGTTTTTTCAGACAAACCAAGTACCAGGGTAAATAAAAACCAGCAAATGTGATTGAAGAGCAGAAGAAGAGTCACGTTGGTCAACACTTTGAGTTTCTCCCGGTGACCTTTGGTCCCTTTTCTTTTTGTCACTGACCAGAAGTACACGATGTTTATCGTGTTAATCACATTGATGTAGCAGCTGGTATCTAAAGTATATATCATTTCAGTTGCTTTATATACTGCTGGTTAGCCTAACCTATAACAATACATTATAATGTATAAGTTAACTAAATTAAGTACTTTTAATCTGTATCTACACAGTAACTAAATTTACCAAATCAATTTAGTGGAGTAAAAGCACGAAGTGGGGATGAAGGAACGTATCCAGGTAATCGACCGTACCTGAGAGCTGCTCTCTCTTTCCTCTGAAATGTTAGTGAAGCCTCCCCTACCCGGCGAACACCTGGGGCGTGAGCGGCGGCGGCAGGTTGTCGTTGTCCACGTTGTTGTCGTCGATGGCGGAAAGGGTGCGAGACCGAACCTCCAGGGGGTATTTCTCCAGCACCTGGTCCACCTCCCGCTGCACGCTCTCGGGCCAGGAGAGCAGGTCGGCCTGCAGGCCCCGAGCGGCCTCCATCAGCGCGTCCTGCCGCCTGCCGAGGCCCGACAGCGCCTCCAGGTTGTGGTTCAGCTGAGCCAGGACGGGGTTGATGGCGACCGGCGGTGGCGGCGGCGGCGGCTCGGCGCGGCCGCCCTCCGAGCTGTCGCGGCGCGGCGAGGCCTGGCCCGACATGTAGCGCTCGAACTCCTCCGGGGAAAGGTTGAGCGACTGAGCGTCCAGCTTCTCGATGAAGGCCACCGCGCAGCACTAGCGGACCAAAAAGACAGGGGAGACACCACCAATATTTAGAGTTGGGTGAGAGGATCTTAGCTTAGCATAAAAATGTAAACTGCTGCAAACCAGCAGCACTAAAGCTCGTCTTTGCTTGAAAGGTTTCTTCTTCTTGTTTGCAAACGTCACACTGGGAGACACATTTTCCTTATTTGAAGAAAAAGACGATTTTTACACAATTAGATCAAACTTCGCGCCCAATATGCTAAACCAAACAGCGCTTCCCTCTGTAGACACCATCGATGTGCAGTTGGAAAAGGCAACGTTTTTTTTAACACAGACGGTTTTATTTGGCCCCTCAGACCGTGTCCAGGATTAAGGTAGGAGAAGGCGGCAGGGAGGACCCACCAGGTTGGTGAAGTAGTATCCGTCCTCTCCGGTCATCAGCCTGCTGGGGTTACAGAAGCGGGTGATGTACTGGATGTTGGACTGAAGTCGCGGCGGGTTGGCTTTGAGCACGATGTGGATGAGCGCGGGCAGGAAGTCGTCGGCGGAGGCGGGCTCCTTCTTGGTGATCCTGATGGCGCTGAAGATGTGTTTGCTGCAACGCGTGATGCACCCCAGTTTGTCCCGAGGGACCCTCTTCGAGTCCATCTCAATGACGTCTGGAAAAGAGGGTTGGACGGGCGCACGAATCGTCAGTGACTTTGATTAGTTAATTGACAGAAAACTATTTGCAGAATTTTTAAGGGAAAAAGACAATATTGTCAATGGTTCCAGTTAAAACCCTGATTCAGAGCCAAATTAATACACCGTTATTTTTCTTTTATCAGTCTTTGTGACTGTCTTAGCTTTGAAAATAGCTCTTTTATTACAGTATATTAAAAATGTCTCAGCGTGTCCCTGTCTGATTGACGTCAGCTGACACACCTTATTAGGCAGACAAAGCAAACTAACTTTTAAGTGCAGATCGTGTGGTTTTAATGGTATTTAAGAGTGAAGGTCGGTACTAACATTCAGCCGGAGTGACATTTGCAGGTTTGTTAACACGCTGTTCAATGTGTCTTCATGTTTCTGAGTTAGATAAAGAGGAAACTTGGGGGGTTGTTGTTGTCACAGCTGATTCCATTACATATATGGATAATAATGAAGATTCATCTTCTGCATGTGTGTAAAAGAACAACTCTGACCTGTTATCGCTTTGTCCACGTTCTCAGAGACTTCAGGGATTTCTTCATCCATGGACACACAGAGCATCTCGATGGTCACCCAGTGTAAGGCCCTGCAGCACAGAGACGAATTCATTAAGCCTCGAGATTAATACTTCCGCCTACGCTACACATTTCAGTCCAGTAATTTCCTCCCCGAGTGAAAAAGCAAGCCGACAGCTGTCGCTCCGCGTTCACGTGCCAATAATGACGGGAGCGCTGCTGCATAATTAAACACACTCCGCTTCCACAGACTGTGGGACGACTAAAAACGAGGGTGGCGCAGTGATGCTTAGAGACGCACACATCCACAAAATGTCACACGAAAAATCAGCCGCCGTTGCTCTAAACAAAGTTAAACCAGAATATGATATCTGATATTCTACTAATAATATCCTAAACTAATCTCCTATGTCTGCTGTGAAGATTTGCTTTGCTGAAGCAACACGTCAACTGTTGATTCCGGCTTGTTAGAGGCTGCGTTATTGTGCAGTGACACTGAAACAAGAACCACGTTCCTATTTCAATCTGCACAAATTTTGAAGCTTGACCTTTTCAGTTTATTTTAGCAATGACTGGGAACTTCTTCTATTACTATTATTATTATCATCATCATTATTATTATTATTATTCAATTGCTTTGTCTCTTTCCGTCCTGACATTTTTACAACTTAAAAAGAACATTCATGAATAAAGAGATCCAACCGGACACAATCAATCTTTTATGGCTCGGTTATGCACAATATCATCACTATCGAAACATCACTGCCCACCTTATCCGGTTCTGTGTGGTCAAGTCCTTCTTCTCATCGTCGGTGGTTTCTGGACAGAATACACTCTTGTACAGACGAGTCATTATGTACTTTTCCACTTGGTCCATCACCTGCTCCACAGACTCTGAAGAGGCTGGAGAACAAAGAGGAATCGGATCCTGTTTATGCCGCCATCTAGTGGTTTCTTCATGCTCCGATTCGCCGAGAACTTGTTACCGGGAGAAAATAATTGTTGAGTGTTACGGAGGTCTCTGCACCGACCTTTGTAGTGACCCATCAGGCGGTCGGCCAAGCTCTGGTAGAAATCCTGAACACACTCAGACAGCTCGTCGGCACCCAGGTCCTGACAGAGAGGAAGTGAATAGCTCATCAACAAAACGTCGATCACAAAGCCCACACACATACATGCCAACTCATACCTTCTTGCTCGACATGTTCACGATGAAAGCCCGGCACTGCTTTTGGATCTCCCGGCCGGGCTTCTGGAGATTCTTCAAGTAGTCCGCAAAGTCCTTGGACACCTGGTCGGTGTCTAAACTGGCACGGCGGCTGATCGACGGACTGGGCGACTTGCCCTCTGGGGTTTCTGACGATGAGGAACGGCAGGTGGAAAAAGCAATGTGTGTGAAGACGGAGGCTGCAGTCGGTTTCCAGGACAGTTGGTATATTCTTTCATTTGGAGAGAACCAGGCGATTTGTTGCAGCCTCGCCTAACCCAACAAACCGAATCACACCCCCTGCTGCACCACAGTACCAATAGAGCACATTTAAGACTCCACTACACAGGACACCGCTGCATTGGCATCACTGGCGTGGATCAATGTAGTTAAAAGTATTGATCAGTAAAATGTTTACTGTCCTACCTGATGTTCCTGCTGCATTAATGCATTTGTTGCACGTTAACTCCTTTATAAAATCTTCATCTATGCGTCGTATTCTAGTGAGAACGCCGTATCTCTAAATAGTACAAATGATTCAGTCAGCGGTACAGTGAAAAATGACAACGTCTACCTGAGATGTAGTGATGTAAAACATACCACGGAATGAATGGAACGCTTCAGCGTTTTGAAGCTGCACGGGAAGCGCCAGAAGCGTTTTTGTGAATGAGATGTGCAGGCGGCCACAGTAGAGTCCTGACTCTAATCTCTCAGACTAACTGCACTCATCTGCCCCTCTGTCCCGCACCTCCAACCAACTACCTTAATCTCTGCTTCACGTTATATTTACATTATTATTTTTACCTTTAACATGCATTGGACCCATTAGCAGGACGGGTGGATTCTGTTTTGTTTTACTGTGATAATTGTTCTTCAAAACTCTATTCAACTTCTCCTTTTTATGTTCTGCTTAAAAAAGAGAAAGATACTCAGCTGGATCCGGCGCTCTAGAGGGCCAAAAAGATAAATGTCATCCTGCAGCCGACAGCAGTCAACCAATCGACCGTCTCCGTGGTTTGAAGCTGTGAGTTGGGCAACAAAGTGACAGGTGTGCCAAGTTGCTCTATAAGTAGACGTACCTTTTTTGGGAGCAGTACGCGACGAGGGGCTGAAGAACTTCTTAACGGTGGTCACTTTCCGCGTCTTCTCGTTGGTCTTCTTCTCCTCAAACTTGGAGAAGGATCCCAGTGAGGCATGCCCCGGGTGTGCTTGTGGTGCCGTGGACTGGGAGTGGGACTGGGCTCCATGGCTGCTGGCGTACGCTGCCTCCTCCTCCCGCTGCAACCTGGAGCCCGAGGACTTGTTTTTAAAACTGTGTTCCAATACACCGCAAGGGCGATCGGAAATGTTCTCGACCCAGGAAGGGAAGTTGCTGCTGCTGCATCATGATGCAGCAGCAGATGGTCTTACTTTTCTGCCAAGGCCCAGTCGTCCTGGATCTGTTTCTGCCGTACCCGCTGGTACTCCTCCCTCCAGCACTTGGAGCACAGGCCCTGCCAACCCGCGTTGCCGTAGTAACCGCATCCCTTTTTGCACAGTAGGTCCGACTGGTCCACGTGGATCCCGCCTCGTCGCTCCGCCCGCTGACTCATGATGCCGCACGACCTGGAAAGATTTGTCATCCGATTGGGGAATTTGCCACAATTCGGAGAAGAGAAGAGGCCTTCCAACTTACACAAACACGACGTTATTACCTGTTTTGTCAATGAGTGATCTTGCTCTGTAGCAGCTGGATGAGAAACTCTTTATGCACCGATATGTTAATGATTATTGTCCCAAATCAGGTATTGCAGGTTCACAGTAGTGAAAGAAATCTAATCCAGTGGATATTTACCTAATTCTTCCAAAGAGATTCATAGTTAAGAATATATGATGCATTACATTACATTACATTGTAATTGTAAGTGATGCAGTGCTATATACTACACACACACTCATCTACCAGGTAGCACACAACTAGTTAAACACGTTGATGACCAACAACCTTCAAATGTTCTGTAATGTTGCTGTTAATGAATCGTGAATTATCTTTTAATAACAGAACTTGGCAGAGGGAGCATTAACTTATAACTTAAGTAACGTTAGTGTCCCCCCGCTGCTTCATGTTTGGGGGGCGGTTAACGTTAGCTAACCCCCCCGTTAGCTCAGCGGACATCACACACGTCTCCCGGCTCACATTTCATTCAACCCGTCAACAGCGCTGCTTCACTCACCTGCGGCGACGTTAATGAACGTGTTTCCACGATCGGGAGCGCGAGCACTTCCTCCTCGTCGCTGTCGGGGGGGTGGAGGGGGACGGGGGGGACGTGATGACGATGAGGTCACAGGTTTAAACTAACGTTACAAACATTTATTGGATTCTGGATCCTAACGTGGGAGCGGGGTGGAAGTCGGGAGTAAACCGTTTTGAATGTAGACGATTTGTTTCGCATGGTAATGTCGGTTCCAGTGTAAGGTCTGTTTACTTCCGCATTAGGGGGAGGGGCTAGTTTTGAAGGCGTGGTAAATGACGTCATGGTTCACCGGTCATGCGCAAAGGAGAGAGCATAAATTCGAGACATTTTTTAATGGTTACATGGTTAATTTGATCCCGAAAGATCTTTGATCGATAGTTTATGAACGTTATTATTTATCAAGGCACTGTTAAACTGTGATGTAATGTTACTTAGTGCATCTACACAGTACTTTTTACTGCACTACCCTTCTAGTTAAACAAAAAAAAAAGATTATTTATGTAATATAGAGTACACTACCAAGCATTTTTTAATAATTTGAAATAGCTCCACACTTAAAAACAGAAGTGACAGCACATCTATCCGTGAGTGTGCTGACTGCTTATTGACATTAGGGTTAATGTTCAATGCTTGTTTCTGAGTCTAAACTGATTAGAAAAACAGCTGTGCTTTCAGACAAATGTATCTGTTCAAACAGGTTATTAAAGCCTATAGCTGCTGCAATATTTGTGTTGCATATCTATTTTTCATTAGACAGTGTTTAATGCTGCTGAGCCACACTTAAGGGCTTTCACTCTTGGAGCATATTCGAGGCACTTTACTTTATTAATTGAATTTCATTTAACGGTATGCCTTTTCTTCTTCTTTCTTTTCTTCTTCCTGAATACTTCCTCCCCTACTATGTGTTTTTGTCCACCTACAGCTCTAGAATAGCTTCATGTTGGGTGACGATCTTTCCGGGGGGCAAATAAACACTCCAGGGGTCAGAGACACGGATAACGAGCAGACAGCCAGACGACCCGCAGCCATGATCCTGACGGGTCGCTCTCTGTGTCTTCCGTCTCGAGCCACAGTCCAGGAGCTCTTCTCCGTGGCTCGAGACGCCGGCGTCGTCCCCGATATCTCCTTGGATCCCGTCCTCACCACCTTCCTCTCGCTGGACTCCTCGGCCGCTCTGCAGCACCAACACGCCTCCTCGCGGCGCAGCATGAGCGGGGAGCTGCAGGCCGCATTCGGCCTCAACTTGAGCAGAGAGCTGGGAGGCAGTGCCCGGGTCACCGGTGGAGGGGTCGGGGTGGTTGCTCTGGCTCTGTCTTTGCTTTTTGACCAGGTTGCCCAACAAGTAAGTTTTAAAACTATACATATATATATATATATATATATATATTGTCTGTAAGATATTATTATTTCCTCTCCTCTGCAGGATAAAAAAAAAGCTGCATCAAGTCAAATTAGGCTTAAAACAGCTGCAACATAAAAAATCCTAATTCCTTATTAGGAAATAGGCCAATCCGTATATATTTTTACATCATATATAATTGAACTGTATCACATGATGCTGAACTGGAACTGAAGCTCAGAATTCCAGATGCATGCTATCGCACTAGGTCCGAGCTCAAGGATCCACTGGGGGGAACCGACCCGCTCCCAGACCCCAGCCCAGGAGGATCTTTGGCATCAGCAGTGCTTCGAGAATTGGCCGGATTGTCCACAGCTACCTGCGCCTCATCCCCGGCATCGCCAACGACCACGAGAAGATGGCCGAGGCCACGGAGCTTCACGACGACTGGCTGAATCTGGAGCTGATCGACCACTACGAGAGGATGACCACGAGGAAGAGGATGAGCTCGGTGTCTATGCAGCAGTGGTTGGCGGGAGCGGCGTTTCATCTACACGTGAGGATTCACCAGGTCAGGAAAGACAAAAAAATAAGGCGTAAACTTAAGTTGAGAAGCATTTTTTCATTTCAAGCATCTAAAAGGTAACGATTGGTAATTACTGAATCATTGGGTTAATAGCAATACAGCAGAAACAATAAGCTGGGGTAACCTGGCCTCCACATAACCCACAATTCAATGTTACCCTTTTTAAATATGAAATAGGCCAAAATAAAAATAAGTGCAAAATAAATGTAGGTTAATAGGAAAAAATAGAATAAGGTGATAAAATGTAATTATGGGGAGAGGAGGATACGCCACATTCATATCTGATGGGGTTGTTGTTATTATGTGTTTTTGACTTGAATAGCTTTGACACAAACATAACAAGTCGTAATAAGACAAACTGGACACCCTGGTTTACCAGGATCATCCGATGAGTCGGTCTGATCTTGTTCCAACAGGTTCGCCTGAAGTCTGTGCCCCGGGGATCCGTCGAGTCTCTGCGTCTGTCTTATAAGACGGCGTTGAGCCGCCTGGTCCAGGGCTACACCGTCTATCTGCACAGCAACATCAAGGAGACTCCGGCGGGTGGACCGGGACAAACTAACACATTAAGCAGAACCAATACAAGCAAATGCATTTTTAATAGCAGCCTGGCCAGTGACTCGACCGATACGTTTAACAGGACGACGTCGGCCAACTCGAGTGCTGACGTTAGCAGAGGCCGCGAAACGGACTTTGGACTCGATGTGCCAAAGAGAAGAAATGAAACCACCGCCCGGGTTGTGGTAAACACGGAGTGTCCCGACAATGCGACGCACGTGGATGTTCAGGGGCTGTTAGTCATCGAGCCGGGGAGGAACGTGACTCACAAAGTCCAGCATCACCCCTGTGAGTCTCCGGCCTTACAACAAGCTTTGGTGACTCGTATTATCAATGCTCAGGACCTGGAGCGGAACAGACACTTCTTCCTGTACTCTGAGAAGTTCTTCCACAACCTCCTCTCGCAGAAGGACGACTTTGAGCTGAAGACTAATTAGAAATTTGAAATGGGCCTTGTCAGCTGATTTCACTTACTGTATTTCTTCTACTGAAAAATACATTAAACCACATTTATACTTCATCTATATATCACCTTTATGCTGCTGTAATGAGAGTTACCTGAAGTAAATCCCTTAAAAAAGCTCCATTGTTAATAAAACTGGATTATGTTAATACCGCATTTTATCAAAACATGACAATAAATACAGGTTAAATAAATTTGTTTTATCTGTTCAGTTCAGTGTGTGTTTCAGTGTACTATAAATACTTCTTACCGAAGAATGAAATAGGATATTAAAATGTCAACAAACATGTAAGGGAGGGGGAAAAAGTTCTTGTACTTTACAAAACTGTTTTTTCAACTTCACTGCCACGTCATTCGAAATACGAATGAAAAAGACTGACCACTGGGGGGAAACCTTCCCGCCAAGATGCTTGAAGCCCGCCAGAAACGCAGGAAAAGACGCAGAAGAAGAAGAAGAGGCGGAAGAGTCGCTCTTGAACCTCTCGCGCCCTGTCACGTGGGCGCCTCGGCTGATGACACGCGGCGCTGCGTGAGCTACGTGAACAGTTCGGACTTCCGCACTCTAGCATGAACAGGACAACAGCGTGCTGCTGAGGTGTTTACACGATAAAAAGAACAAGGTATGGACTCCTGTTCGTTCAGGACGTGTGTGCGCGCGTTTTTACGTGGCTGACGTTGACTCGTAACAGCGCGGCTCGCCTCGGCTCGTCTACGCAGATTAGCTGATAAATGGGCTAAAAATGCTAACATTGAAATAACCAGTCGAGCGTTTAGGTAAAAGTTGCATAAATCCCTGAGAGGTATTAACGCTGAAAAACCACCCATCTCCTTGGTACAATACGCAATCATTCATCGTTCCCAATGTTCCCCGTTCGTCTTTTTCTAAAACTATCAGTCTACGTCATAAAAGTTTTAAAACATGACATCATCACAGGGAGGGTTAGCTATCCGTTCCATTGTGTCGAAACACACCTTCCAGAAGTAATGGGTCTATAAGTTACTTGATTAAAAATAAACTACACCCATAACTTGCTATGATTTTAAAATGTGTGATCGATAATACACGGAGATAAATACAGGTGTGTGTGTGTGTGTGTGGGGTAATTCAATGCATAATTACACAACTAATAACGCACTGAATGCTATTCTAAGTATTAGTCCTGCTTTGTTTTTTTCGTAGAAGTATGTTTCAGCGAAATGTAACTTTACTCTTGTAAAAGTTCTAAAATGTTCACTGTTTTGAATGAAGTATATTACATTAACGTGTATGTTGCAGTTTACTTCTTGATGTGATACGGCTCTGCTCATTCCAACTTGATATACTAGTAGACAGTTTAATCCCCAAAACGTCAATAATGTAGAGTTGACCAAAATAAAGATATGTTGTAAGTGTGATTGTTTCATGTTTTCCAATGATTTTGACACTGAAATGAATACAATTCGACGACCTGCAATGTTGACGTCTACTTCAGTCATGTAATTGATCTGAGTGATTAATGCAAATGTTCTCACAGATTCAGACAAAATGTCAGACTCTGATTCTGACTGTGAATGGGAGGACCAGCTGACTCCTGTGAGTTATTACACCAGTAATCAGAATAAAATGAGCATTTAGACAACACATGTTGTTAAATGTTACTGATACTTTCTCTCTCTCTCAGAAACGAATAAGGAAATTTGACCAGATTCTCACCCTGCGTCCACCATGTGAGGAACACTTTCATCTTCATGTACCGTTCATATGGATGTGCAGTGCTACGATGCTTTAGCCTCGTTATTATTATTGTACATGCAGTGTCTGCATGCTTTGATGAGATATTTAGGTTATTATTATTATTATTTTTACAGTGGAGGTGTTTGAGCGATGGATTCGTGTTCCTCCTGAGACCAGAAAAGATGCCGGGCGGCGAATGAGAATTTGTGTCTTCTGGCTTCCAATTCTGCTGCAACGTGAAGAGTACAGCGCCATTTTTTGCTGGGCTTTACAATTGGGTCTGATCCCACAGTAAGTGAACCTCTCAATATGGTCTGAACATTTGTTTAAAACCCCCAATCAATAACACCTTTTTTTTAAACTGAATCATCAATATTGAAATTGCTAAAGAGTTTGTTTCCCCTTCTAGCAACAATGAACTAGGTCTGAATAACCTGCAGAAGATCTCAACAGTGGAGACGATTCTCAGAGCCCTGGAGAAAGGAACCGTAAGTTGTACTTCAGTGTTCACTGTGGAACCAGTGGTAACTAAAAGTTTAGGGGTTAATTATGATGGATAACAATAAATAAAAACTCTGTCTATGCTTTCAATTTTTCTTTTGACAAAATGTATCTGTGTTTCAGGTGGAAAAGGACCGGACTAAACAGGTTGTGAAGATAAGCAACTTGTTAAACTTGGTAAGTCTCCAATAAATGATTATGGCCATTTAATATGAAAAAACTTCATTCAATCTGAAATGTTTTTAAGTCATTTTGTTGGGATCATTGGACAGTTTCTGGTTGCATCGTCCACATTGTTGCTAAAACTTTACCTGTATTGTGTTTTTGTTGTGGATTTTAAATTTGGGGGGTGAAAAGACTCTGGTATTGGATCAGTAGTCAGTATTAGCAAAAGACCTGATTTGAGGTGAATGTAATCAATACATTTGATGGAGTTGAATGTTTCTCTTTCTCTGACTTTGCACCTTCAGCGTTCCGATGGAGGTTTGGAAGAAGCATTGCGGTGGTTGGAGCTGACCGGGGAACCCTACGTTTCACAACGCGTCCGGATTATGGGCGACGAGAGAGCGCGCCACACCACCATGCTCTTCATCTACACAGAGTGTAAAATACCAAACCGTTCTGCCCAGCGCCTCTCACCACAAACCGCTTTATCCACTGTGATCACATTTCTAAGGAATTGTGTTTGGAAAAAAGAAAAGAAAAAACATATAGATGAAACTCCTACATTTTCATATTAGCGTGTTTGAAGCCTCTGAGAGCTCGTATGTTGATGGATAACACGCACTGTTGTCGCTTTCTTTTAATCAGTTGCGAAGTACATTCATGAAATGGGAACCGACTTGGAAAAGACGCTGAGGTCACTGATGTCTCGACCATCCACCCATCTAATAATGGTAAGACGACCGATTAGATCAATAGATTATCGGCTATCCGCATGAAACGGTTCACATTTAATTTTAAATATACAGAACATTCAACAGTGAAACATATTGAGCTTCATACCAGCTCTGCATGTCAACAACGCACCGACACACTGCAAATCAAATGTTTGATTTGAATAAAACTTGTACTGCTCCCGACCCCCAAACTAAATGTGCTTTGTCTGGTTTCTCATCCAGCAAAGTGACGAAATGAAGAAGAAAGGAAACGAAAACTTTGAGAAAAAGCAGTATGAGGACGCTGTTCTCTTTTATTCCAAAGCCATCCAATATTAGTAAGTTCAAATTCAATATTACGTTTAAGTCTGCAGTCATACGATCAATACGTCCTTCAGAGGTGATTTACTCTCCTCTTACGAACAATAAACTACACAAGTTTCACAAACTATTGATTCCAAGCTCGCTGGACTAGATGATGATTTGGTAAATCTGTGTGCTTTTGTAACTGAAATGTATTGTCTTCTCCATCCAGCCCCGACAACCACATAGCTTATGGAAACAGAGCGTTATGCTATATTCGGTGCCACAAATATCTGTAAGTACCAAATATACATTTGTAAGTAAAGTACAGAGAATCAGTTGGAAACTTAGTTCCACCGTGAAAGATGTCTCACTAGAGAATGAGCTGCAGCAGGGAAATCGTTGTAATGCTTTTTGTTTGTCCAAGCTCACGAGAAATGTTGAAACCCAAACCCGACTTTTACATTTTTACAGAAAAGCGGCTTGTGATGGAAAAAGTGCTACTCTGATAGAACCGTTCTGGGCCAAGGTACGGTTCTCTCTAATCACCCAGTCAACATGTAAACACTCGTGCTCCCCACGGTGTGAGTTGTCGTAATTTAATCCTCTGACTTCATCCAGAGTCGTCATCAGCCTTTTCATTAGTCGTGTACTTTGGTTTATGACCAAACGCCTGCACAGTCACCGGCGCGCCCATCGGCCTCGCCGGCACTCCTGTCAGTCAAACAATAATCAAGAAGAGTGACGTGTTGGGGTTTTTGTTGTCTGCAGGGTCACTACCGCTACTGTGAGGCTCTGTGCTCCATGGGAGAGGTCAGGATGGCCATCGAGGCAAACGCCACGGCCCAGAGTCTCTGTAAAGACGACCACAAGGGAATGAAAGACTTGGAACAACAACGCCTGAAGTTCCGTGACGCGCTGAGCGCCAACGGTATTTCCTCTGCTCCGCAATCCCAGTTTTTCTTCTTAATTGGCCACATTTGTAGCTTTGAAACCGGTGCAAACCGTAGCCGACACGCATGTAGCACAAACATGACAGATTTAGGTGTCTTCTCATTTTTCATATGCCTCAAAAATAAAGGGCAGGAGAGCAGCTTTACAGTCTCAAGCTTTTTCTTGTAGAACATCTGTTTTTCCATTATAGAAAAACAAGTTTTAAGATGCAAAAAACCCGATTTGAGGACAAATGTCTCATTTGCTGTAAATGTGTGTAAACTGATCCGTCGCTGTCCTTCCATAAGTGAAACGTGTGTTTGTCTACTTTGATTTCAGTTTCACAGACTATGAAAAAAAAAAACGGTAAAAGGTACGTGTAGAACTTTTACACATTTAACAAACAACTCGATTAGGTAAACGGCAGAATGCTTATGGATTATCTTCCTTTGACAGAACGCAGAGCCCTAACAAAACTCCATGGCCACCGTTTGTGAAAGTCGATAAAAAGAATGATCCTCCTCCGCAGACCAAGGTTTGTCCTTTTTTTTTTTTTTGTGAGATTACTTCATGTGATGCTGTATAAATGAATGAATAAATGTGTATTGTGAAGCTAATCGAGCGTAAACAAACAAGTGTATTTGGTCGCCATGAAGAAAAGTCTGATTGGCCTTCTTCACAAAATTGTTAATTTAGATTAGATAACTGCCATAATTGCCACTTCACAATCGTTTTTTTCTTTTTTTCCACTATACTTTGAATGTTAATGTGTTTTTTTAAATTTTTTTATCTTCACTTTTTTGTTTTAATTCTTCAAACCAAATAAAGAAAGAATTATTCACTTGTGTGTTTGCAGGTTCCCGAGGTCAAACCGGAAGGTGAGTTCATCCCAACAGGTTCTTACACTCTGCTCTGTAAGCCGGGTTCAGTTCCTGGTTACTGTTACACTATGAGTCTTCTTTCCTTAAATACACAAGGGCATTAAAGAGTCCACACTGCTTTTCCGTCCTCATTAAACACAAAGCAAATTTATTTACGAGTCAAATCAGCATTTTTTGTATCCATGTTTACTAAGTAGCCTTTTGCTCCTGTGTTTATATTATTACACATAATCACACATCATATATTATGCCGTTGACATAAACCTACCTGCATGTACATCTTAATGTTTTGTTCATGATATTGAAAACCTTTTTTAAATTTTTTTCTTGTCTCCAGTGAGACAAAAAAATGAAAAGCCTGCACAGTCAGAAAGCTCTAAGAACCCAAAACCATCTAAAAGGTTAGTGGATGTTTTTATTTTTTATAAATGATTGTTTCAACAGCTGCCCTTTGGTGCAACCAGAGGAATTATAATCTTTCTTCGCAGGCTCAAAGTAAAAACAAAAAATAATAATAATAATAATAATAATCTGGGGGTCAGAATCTTCCTTTCAGACTCTTTTAACTTTAAAAAAATGTGCTTCCAGTGAGCTTTCTTCAAAGATTGGGAAATCAGTGGCCAGCTCACCAAAGAAGATACCAAAGATGAAAAAGGAACCTGAAGAAGAGGTACAGCTGTGCTGAACATGTCATGTGATCCACATGTTTCCCTGATTACGAGTCCGGTGTGACTCTATTTAAGAGCATCTCGACGTCCGGTCATCCGGCTACGGCCGTAAAGTCGTAGCCGTATCAGTAAAATAGATGCCTGACCCGCTCCTCCATGTCTTTCATCCAAGCAGAAGCAGAAGCGGACGCCGTTCGATAAGGCGGCCGTGTGCAAAGAGTTGAGATCGATGGTGCAGGACGCGCACGCGGCTCTGGCTGACCTACGCAGCCGCAACGCAGAGGAGGCCTTCAGGAAGGCACTGGTCCTACTGGAAACCAGCCCAGCCAAGGTAGCGCATCTCTGAGGAGCACAAATGCATCATTTTATGTTCCAGTACTTTGTGTTGATCGTATGCAACCTTCAACTTATCTGCAGAGGGCAATATTGTATTTTCAGGCAACCATATTTATACAAGGCCTTTATTCACTAGTTACTTTGCAGGTGAAGATTGTATCAAGAGTGTATGAAAAGAACGCTGCGTTATAGAATGAGCGAATTTACCCAGGACCATAGAATTGAACAAATTGGCTACAAAATGTTACTTTTGTTTGTGGGGAACATTTTTCAAATGCTCTTTTGCAGCTTTCGGCTCGCCGGAGTTGCGTTGAGCTGTAACTGTTTTCTTTTTGCGTTCCCAGGAGCTCGGCCTTTCCACCCTGGACGTGCTGTTGCTGCTGTACGGCCGCGCGTTGGCTCTGACGGAAATCGGCCAGCTTGAGGTAACTCGGGAGTGCATTCTTCATAGTTTGTACGCGCACCGGATAACTCCATTGATTGAGTTGTGAAGACATTACATGCGAGCTCGCTTCGTCCCATACAGGAACTTGTGGAAGCTCAAACGCTTCTGGAGAAGATCAAGTCGTTTGAGGAGAGGACGTTCCAGTGTCTAGTTTTCTACGCTGTGGGGAAGGTGTTCCTCCGAGAGAACCGGTACAGCAGCTTCTAGTTCTAAACCGCTTTGTGCCATCTTGATTCTCACCCCCAATCATTCAAACCATTTCTCATGGTTGAAATGCACTGATTGTCACTTCGGATAAATGACATGTAATGTCTCCGCTGGACAGGTTTTCTCTCGCTCTGGCGCAGTTTTCAGATTCCCTGCAGACGGTAAAGAATAAAATAACACCGGGTAAACTCACCTGGCCTTTAACGAAGGAGATTGTCAAAGAGACACAGCCGGAGTATTTAACAGTAAGTTGTCTCCTTACTACTTTGTTTGTATCTATTTTAAAAAGCTGATTTGGTTGCAATCGTTCAGCAAGTATAAAAACGTAATGTATTTATGGCTCTCAGTTCTCTTTTTTTGGGTATTCTGAAGTGTGATTGCATATGCAGGTTACCCAACTTGTATTTTCTGCTTCTATCTCTTCAGGAAGTTCTAGAGCAGGCTATAGAGTTGTGCAAATTCCCTCCTATTCCCGATGCCATTTGTCGACTAGAGAAATGCCTCGTTCCGCTGAAAGCTGAAATCTACCTGACCGACCCAGATTTTAAGGTAAGTGTCCGCCGTGAAACACGGAAGGAAAACAACTCAACAATAATTGGAATAACATGCCTGTTTAATTTAGGGCTACATTCGAATATGTTGCTGTGAGAGCTGCATTCTTGAATACCACACGGCCTGCTGGAAGAGCCTCAAGACGGCCTTCTCTGACAAAAATGAAAAGGTACATTTTCCGTGTATTTATGGAGTTAGTAACTTCATTAATACCTGTATAATATGTACAGGTGTATAGAGTATATGTGGTTCAAATGAGGAAAATCTTTGAGATACTACTTCAATAATTTTTATTTCTTTAACCTTTTCATGTATTTGTTGACGTTTCATGAAACTACCTCAAGGGCGAGAAACGGTCGTATATCGGTAGAAATGAACCCTGTGATCATGGAGACGTTTCTTGCCTCCAGCCTTTTAATTATTATTTTTTCTTTCTGGTGCAGGATTTTCTGAAAGAGTCGTGTTTTACTCCAGATTGTTTTGGTAAAATCTGTAAGATCCAACTCTTTCGTCCGACGGGGCTGTTGAAGTGCGAGGTAAGAACGATCTCTGCGGGCGGGGGGAAGCTTTTTAGAGTCGCCGCGCCGCGAATGAATCCCAGCGTTGACCTGCGTCTCGTTCCTCTCAGTTTGTAGCTGCCATCTCTAAACCACTGATTCCGAAGAAGCCCAAACTTAATCAGAAATGCTCGAGGTGAGTCGAGAACCAAAAGACCGGGATGACTGTAGTGTTTCTGGTATCACATGCTGACAGGTACCTGGTTTCCAAATAACTCCCCCTTTTTTTGCTTTCTATTAATTCTCAGTCCAAGGAAGTTAAAATCAAAAGAGGAGCACAAGCTCACGAGGAAGCAGCATAAGCTGTCATTTCAAGAAAAGCAGGCGATAAACGACGAGATTCTGCAGCAGATGGAAGACCCAGCGACCCACAGTCAACAGAAAGGTACCGATTAGCTTGAAGCTTCTTGCCTTTTTATTGCACCTCTATTCTATATTCCTGCAGTTGCAGACACAGATTAGGCAACTCTAATATTTGACCAACGAGTGTTGCTCAGTCCCTTTTGTATCCTCTGTGTCTTCAGCCTGGCGGCTGTACAGGGATCCAGTTCTCCTGCAGACCAGCCAGAACGTGGAGCTGCTGAGGGAGGAGAAGTGCCTCCACGTGTCCGACCTGGCGGCCGCCCTGAGGCCCTGGCTGGAACTGGACTCCTCCAGGGGAAACCATGTCGCGGAGAGGATGCTGAACCTGCAGCAGGAGCCGCTGGCGACTCTGAGGCAGGCGGTCGATTTGCTGCTGGAGCGGAAGAATCGCGTCTGGGCTCGTGTCCTTATACACCTACTCAGTGACTGTGAGGATATGAATCCCAAACTCAGCAGATGGGTGATCCAGCTCAACAACGCAGGTCAGCGTGGCTCATGTGATGAACAAGTGGATGTTGAATGGATGAATATCAGAGTGTAGTTAAGTTTGAGTATTTCTGAAGTGGGTCCCTTTCAACCGTCGACTTTGACTTTGCTCGTCAGTTTGCGTTATTAGAACCGGTCCCATTTAAATCTGCACACATTTTAGGTTCTTTAGCCGATAACTCAGGAGTAATTTTAGTCTGGTCTCGATCTTTTTTTTTTTTTGCTGTCCACACTTTGTCCTCCAGTCTCACCACGTTTTCCGCTGCTCTCCGTAGGTCTGAACGCTGCGAGATCCTTCATCGAGCGCCACGCGGAGCACTTGGAGCAGCTGGATTTGTCTTTTCTGCTCAACTTTGGCCCGTTGCAGGACGCGATTATAGAGAAGTTCGGCACGAGGACGGAGCTTTTTTCAAGCAGCGTGACGGTGACTGAGCACCTGAAACAAGCCCCACCACATGACATGAGACTCTTTATCTGGACTCTGGAGGAGCATAGGGACAAATATCTCACCTGCCACCAAATACTGGATGACTATTTTGATATGGGTATGTATAGTTCACTTTTCAAACATGTGGTTTGAAGGCTTCTTCATTTGTTGGTGGTGATTTGACTCCCAATTCTTTTATTTTTCAGATGGACATTGTTCAGTCATAAAAAAGTCTGAAAATGAAAATGTAAGTTTTTGGAGCCATGATGGTGTTTTTGTTTTTTATGCTAACGAGTTTCAGAGCCAAATAAACTAAATGCCAGATACCAGTGTTACGCCAGCTAGCGTAGCTTAGCATAATGACTGGAAACAAATGGAAACGGCTTCTTCTCACGTTCTCTGGGTCCAGCTCACATTATTACGTGGACAGCGTTGTGTTTAACTAGTAGAAGTATTGTACTGGTGACGGAAGCAGCAGCAGTACTAGTAGTTGACCCTAAAGGGATTTTTAAGGCTCACTTTTCACTTTGTGGCTCTTCCCGCTCCCTTATTTACTCTGCTTTTTCGATTTCAGAAATCTCCTATGAAGAGTCGAGGCCGGAAAAAGAAAGCCAAAGAGCCGCGGGTGAGTGCGGGCGGGACGGCTGCTTTGTGAAGAGAATACGCGTCTTGATCGCGTGACTCTAAAGTGTCGCCTCTCCTCTTCCTTTCAGGCCTATTACGTTTTCCCCGGGACGAGAGCTTCAACTCCGGCCGATGAACAAGATTTATTTGAAGATGATTCTTTGTAAGTTCTCCCACGTCAGACACTGGTTTTATTGTCCGTTCTCGTGCGTAACAACGGGATTTGGTGTCGACAGATCGTTCCTTCACCCGGGGGATCCGTTCAGTGTACCGAGTCACCTTCGAGAGGAAGTGGCTGATTTTGAGGAGCAGTACAACAGCAGGAGACACGGAGGTCACTATAAAATGATTCTAGACAACAACCCTGACCCGACAAAAGAGAGTTTGTACGAGTAAGTACAATTTTTTTATATATACTAGTTAGTTTTTATATATTAACATGATATGATGCATTACTATATTACATTTTATACAATTTTTTTCTTTTCACTGTCACCAGTCCACAAATGACTTCACGGTCAAAACATCTTAACAATAAAAATACTCCAGTCAAATACAGCTGTTGTGAACATGCACGTAGTTGCATTTCCCCCCCCCTGCATGAAGTATTTTTAATGTACATTTCCCCTCGTTAGACGTTTAACATCTGAATGTCTCGGCAGCTATTTCGCTCTGATCTTGGAGGAGCACGGCCCGCTGGAGGCCGAGGACCCCCTGCTGTCCGGCGAGCTGGTGAACTTCCCCGCCGTGGCTCAGCTGAAGATGCAGGAGGCGGGCGGCTTCGAGTCCTTCCTTCTGGAATCCCTCCGCTTCATTAAGATCGGGAGCCACGTGGGCCTGATGAAGCACGCCATGTGCCTGCAGCAGCAGGCGCCGCAGGGAGCCAGTCTGGACGACTTGGATGTAATAACGGATCCCGGCTCGGTCTCTCTGGGTCCTTACTTGAACGGGGGGCTTGAATCTGCTCTCGAAAGCCACTTGGACAGTTATTTTCCGGCACAAACTGACGTTCATCCCTTCGTGCCAAATCCTTATGTAATAAGCTCCCAGGCGCCTCCGCGGGAGCTTCTCCCCCCTTACGTTTTAGCCACTGACTACGGGGAGCTGGATCTGGAGCTGGATGGCGGACCTTCAGAAATGTCCTCGGTGACAACCAATGATGGCTTATTGAAGAAACATGTACACGTACAGGTGAATACCAAACATTTCCTTTCAAAGAAGTATGAAAACTAGATTGCCGTGCACAATATCCACCGTTCTCAATCAACCAGCTTCAGCAGCTGCTGAACTGTGTGTGAGAGACGTTTCAAGGGCTTTTGTTTTTTCTGTTTTCTTCTCAGACGTGTCACGAGAACATGAGGGGTGTGGCGGTGAACACGGAGATGTACGAGCGCTTTGAGAGCTGCCCGGTGAGTTCAGTGCAGCTTCGTGCGTTACTACCCGAGTCCTGTCGAGTCCCCAGTCGGTCCCCCAGAGGCTTCTCTCAGCAAGGGACTGACTGACAATCGCCCCGGCGCCGTTATTAAAACTGGTTGGAATTCATTGTGGAGCTCTGTGTTAAAGTCATGAAGTTGTAGTTGACCCTTTTTGTCCTGTTCTTCTTCCAGGGTGACATCAACATGAAGCAAAAGAACTACAGGAAGTTGGAGAAGCAGATCAAGAAAATGCTGAACGGCTGTGACAGAGTCAACCAGAGACACAACGAAGACATCGCCGTCCTCGAGGAGGATATTCAGGAAATCAAAGCCAATATTCAAGTAGGTCCACAAGTAGTTACAATCTATCAATCTGAACCAATTTTAGATATTGACATAAGAAAATAATGAACCACAAATCCAACAAACCTTGTCTCGTCATCATGACTTTATGCAACAAAGTACATAAAAACCTGTCAACTGATGTTTTCCTCTCGTCAAGGTGACCAACAGGGAGCTGGCTCTGTTCCAGCAGAAGCTTGAAGAGGAGGTGAGGAAGGACCAGAAGGAGAAGAAGGCCTACCAGGAAGGACTGAGGGCCTTGAAGATGGAGATTGAAGAGCTGGGGGAGCAACAGGGGAGGTAACCGAGTACATTTACTAAGTACTGTGCCTGAGTACATTATGGATGTACTTGCAGTAGAGTATTTCTCCACTGCTACATTTCTCCTGGGACATTATTATATTGGTGTGCTGAATTATTCAATTAGTATATTTATTGTTGCAGCTTAAATGATTTATTTCAGTACAAAGTAAATTTATAATTTTTTTTTCTAATGTTTTTGTTTTGTCATTTGTCTTATTTTCATGCAAAGACTTTCCCAAAGCCTCCAGGAGAGGAAAGCCAACTTCGACTTAAAGCTGAGTGATTTCCTTGAGTATAGGTAGGTGTCGATAGTGAAGCATAAACTAAAGCTCCTCAGCTTCTTTTGTTCACTTCTTCTTCTCCCTCCGTTGTTTCCTTTCAGCAATCAGTCAGCAGCCGAGAAGATGAGCATGGAGGAGGAGATCAATCGCTGTAAGGCCTTGGTTACCGCGGCGACCAGGAGGTGTCAGACCGCTAAGGTAGGTTGATCCTCAACCGCTGGACGGATTTAATATGAAGGGAGTCAGCTGCTAGCGTTCTGAATAAATCCATTTATTATCAATGTTAAGAGCTTTTTTGTTTTGTGGGTGTAAAGTTTAAACAACTTAAAGGTATTTTAAAGTAAAATAGTGATGACATGCTCATAAACCTAATGATAAAATAAATGCATATCCACCTGGTATACATGCCTTTTCTCCCGTTATGCTTGTGATTGATCCTGCTTGTGAAGTTCACGGCCATCACTGTGCTCCTCCAGGTGTGGATGGTGGAGAGCAGCCGGGATCAGGCCGTGTACGCTCTGTACACGGACCTCGCCATCGCCAAGGCTCTGCTCAACAAACTGGACGAAGCGGCTCAGAGGTCAGACGGCGAATCGCCACTTTTATTCTGAAAGGACCGGCTGGTGGCGGATGTGTTCATATTGTGCGTCGTCCCTTCGTCTTTGTCCAGATACCCAGAGATGGAAGTGGCTAGAAACATCTGGAGAGTGAATGTCCAAGAGGTTGAGAAGAAAATCTCCAGTGCTGAGGTACCAGAGTCCGTCTCATGCAGCAACACGAGTAGATGATCGCACACTGCGACGCTTCTAGAGCTGCTCTTTGTTAAAAGTACCACCACGGCTTCTCCAGCTTCACTCCAAATAAATCCCTCAAAGAAGTATAAATATATAAGCAGGATGTCGCAACGTTTGACGTGTGTTGATCCAGATGTTTAGTAAGCCTTCATATTTTCCCCAGGCGCTTTATCAGGAGCAGCTGGATCAAGTGAACAGCGGCAGAAGACTCACTGAATGGGCTCCGCCCGCAGTCGACGGCCAGTCGGACTCTCCAGCTGCACCAGTAAGAGAACCAGTCCCACCAGCACAGCGTGTGCTGCTGATGCATTGTTCATAAAAAGCTTGGAGATTTGCTGCTTTTATACCACTGTCTGTAAACATCTTATTAGTTGTTATAACAATAATCTATGTACCTCTGCTACTTCAGATCCTTCTGCTATCGCTTGTACTTCTGTATCTATGGCTGCCACCTCGTCTATCGCTACACGGCGAGATAAACTGCTTAGATTCTCTAATAGCAGAAAATGTTTATCAGATATTAGAAATGCTTTTTACCCAGTAATGTACCGCTAATAAAAAGGGAACTCTGTGCTGTCTTAACGTTGCAGTCCGCGGCAGCCGCCCCTCCGTCTGAAGCGGCGTCCGCTCAGGCTCCGCCTCCGCTCCGACCCGCGTCCAGGACTGTGGAGCCGCAACACAACACGGTGTTTGACCAGTCGGTTGAGCGCCTTGCCGCCATCTTCCCCGCTTACACAAGGTAACGCTGGATCTCTGACGTACATGTCGACTATTTTCCTCTACTTGAACAACTGCAAGCAGTGACACGTGTTTGTGTTCAGGTCGGACTTCATGAGGTTTGTCCAGGAGTTCCGTTCGTCCCGCGGTGGTAACCTTAGCAACATGACCATTCAGGAAATGGTCGGCGGAGTGACTCAGCTGATCCTGGACCATCAGGTACATTTTTTTTGTGAAGACCCCTATTATTGAGGGGGTATTTGGGGGGTATTTACTCCACTGATTGTTTCGGCCCCTCTTCCTCTCAGGAGAAGCCTAAAGCTGCGGCATCGAACGCGAGGACTCCGTGCACCGCGTGGCCGGGGGTCGCCCCGGTCTGGAAAGCACACGGACAAAAGACCAACGCAGTGAGTCTTTGTCTCTGCAACAGTTTATTCTATTCAGACTTGTTGGCGTTTTAGAGCCGTCCATAAACAACTTCCGACGAGTCCCTAAAGATTCATTCATTCAATCCCACGAATCAGCACCAGTGATTGTTTGTTCTCCTCCCCCACAGGAGAGAAACGTCATGAGAAGCGAGAGCCCGTCGAAGTACGGCACCCTGTTTCATGTCCCCCCGGCCTGGCAGCCCCCCGAACAAAAGAGGGACACACCCCCCAACGCAGTAAGTCCAGGACGCCGCCAGTCAGCGAGACGTCAGAGAAAGAAACGAATGCCACCACTGTTTGTGTGTCAGTAAAACACGACCGGTTTGGACTCGCTTGTGTGTCTGCAGCTGAACGTCGAGGATCCTTGCATCATCTGTCACGAGGACATGAATCCCGGCAACATCTGCGTGCTGGAGTGCCGCCACAGCTTCCACGACGAGGTGAGCGGAGACACTCTTGCGTTATTCTAAATGAAGCGTGTTTTAGAAGTCTCTCTCTCTTGATTTTTAATGACTTTTAGTCCACCGATTTTAAAAGCGTCCCTGCCGTGTGTTCAGTGTATCCGCTCGTGGCTGAAGGAGAATAGAACCTGTCCCACCTGCAGAGATCCAGCAATCATAAGCGACGAATTCCCTGCCTTGTCTGCCAGAAGACGCCAAGCTCCGTGAAAACGCGGTCCTGCCGCCCCTCACGTACTCACCCACACGCTTTTATCTCATTCCTTTCTTTTAATCATAATCTACATACGCTAGCTTCTTTTTTCTTGTATTGTTTGAATGTTCAGGCGATGTTTCAACACTTAATAATGATAATAAACTAAACATCTGGTGTTTGACATCGTCTCAGTCAGATCTTTGTCACACCTCAGATGGTCCAGAGTTTACAATTTATTATTTCGGATCTTTTAAAATTGGCTCTGGAATGTGTCGAACCGACTTGACCACTACTTATTCCATTTTCATGTTTAACTTTATAATGTACCATGGTAAGACTGTTAATCATTATCAGTCTATACAATTACTTTTTCCCCCAAAATGACTTGATAAAATAAGTTTGAAAGATTTCTTTAGTCTCTGTATAGTATGTTGAAGAACTTTCATAACTGGATGTGCATAAAATGGCAAATGTAATGAGTCATTATGCTGAAAAGTTTCATTAAAAAAGGAAAGCAAACATGGGGAGTTTAAAACATTCTGTTCCATGTAGGTCATTGCCTGGTATAATATAACATTAAAAGTCAGTTTAGTATGTCGATGTGACTTGTATCTGCCAGTTGTTTTGTTCTTTAGCTTTCGCGAACACCTTCACATTTCCATTACATGACGGACTCTCTGCATTAAATACCTTTGACGAACCGTCACCCATTGTCTCCATTCTCCTCATGGCCTTAAAATGACATGGATAGGGTAAAAAGAACCCGTCTCACTTAGAATACTTTTACCATACTATAGGTATTCATATTAAAATGAACAAAAAAGGTCTATAAAGATTTGCATGTTTAGTCACGGCATACATTCGTTGCAGTGTGACAAATGATCTTTTAAAAGCTCATAATTGATTTTATGGTAAATCAAAATTGGTATATTACTATGAAGTCAAATAATCCAGAAAAAAGACCTGATAGCATGTGGATGTATTGTATGTAAAAAAATAAATGTAAAAATGAGTCCAGGCGTATTTTCAGTTACATTTATTTTAGTATTCAATGTGATCATTGTGTTCGTGTTACCCAAGCTTAAGAAAATGTCCGTTCTACAGGAGTGGTCACATGACCCATAAACAGTGTTATGATTATGTTTAATAAAAATCAATGCTAATGGTTCATACATTTAGAAAAAAAAGACACCATTCCTCTTCTACAGTGAGTGTGTACGTGATCTAAAAAACACTACTGTGGCACACGTATGGTCCGTTCCTGTGCACATGCATGACTAAACAATGTAATACAAAACAATCATTGGGTAACACTTAAATCCAGAATGCCCATTTCCAAAGATTACTGCATGCACAGTCAAACTGGCATTTTATTAAATAAAGAGACTAACCGATCATGAGTGGTTACTTTCAGACAAGACGAAGCTACTTCACAACACAAACAAAATGAACAATTAACTTTTTCAGGTGTTTCCTTATAAAACAATGTGTGGGTCTTGTTTTCGTAAATCAAGCAAGCGGGTGGAGATCCGTTTTGTCTTTACGCTGATGTCGGTATTTGAGGAAACAATTCTTTCTCAAACAAAAGTAACATTTAAAGCTTCTTATATCAAACTTCACTGACAATCACAAACATTCAGACTGTTGGAATCACCGGTTTGTTTGAAGTTTTCCATCTTTCCTTTCATAAATTCAGACTCCAATTTGTATTATTTTGCATTTTGAAATCGTTTCGGCCTCCAAAAGGATGATACATGAATAACGGTTTGCACTCGACCCCGGGGGGATTTAAAGGCAATAGGTGAGATTTCTTTAAGACAGAGCCAATACAAAATAACATTAATGAACGCATTGGCATTACAGTGACACCTTGATAACCACTTCACAGTTAAATACAGTATTTTGTCTATATGATTCACACTGTGTGTGTGTGCGTGTGCAGATGGGTGGGCTGCACATTCCAGCCGCTCCGCTCACTTGCTGCTGCGCCGGGAGGTCCGTTGCTTCGTCATTGTTGTCAACATCTGGCTGATGTAAGAGGTCAGGAGGTCGTCCATTTTGTAGCCCTGCAGGGTTTGGGGTCAAAAGGTCAGATACGCTGTGCCGAGTTCACGATGTATTTATTGATCTGGGGGAGCCGGGGGCTCACCAGGGAGGTCTCACACAGCAGCTTGCTGCCGCGCACCAGGTTCCCGATGGTGATGTGGAAGTAGGTGTTGCCGCTGCTCCAGTTGGAGATCTTGGTGAAGGGGTGAGTGGTGAGGATCTCCTGCAAGCAACGCAACAACCGGGATTAGCACAGCGCCCGCGGACCCCCTATCTCCCCCACGTGGGGGGATAGAAGGTGCACCTTTGATTTCAGACCGTTCAAAAATACACAATATGAGGAAAACACCAATAAGTGGGGACTCACCCGAGATTTAGGATCGATGAGACTCACGCCGTGTTTGTTGATGGCTATCAGAAGGGTTTCTGGGTAACTTGGATCAGTTGTTTGCTGGGGGAAAAAACAAATGGAGTAATTAAAAATATCTGATGCCAATACTTTTGTCCCTTGAAGAAATTTGTGAATGCAGGGCTAAAACATTAAAGAAACAACAACAACAACAACACATGCAGCCATTACATTTCTTTAAGTCTTTACCTTGACTTCAAAAAAGGCCGAACCGAACGTGGTCCACTTGTAGATGATCTTGAGGAAGGAGAGTTTGGCTTCTTCTCGAGTCTTTCCCGAGTGCTTGTTGAACAGCGACACGATGGCCTGAGAGGGAAACACACATTTATTTGCGTCTATTCATTCCCCCACTGCTCTACATGTAGAGAGAAATGACCACGTCTGTTAACTACACAGTTAAGTAGTAGTTCTGCTGCTCTCGCGCGTCCAAATCTCACCCGCTTCCACTCGTCGGGGGGCAGGTGCCTGATCTGGTCTTGAGGGACGAGCTCCTTCAGGATCTTGGAGATATTCTGGAAGTGGGTTTTGTCGTCGTCAAACTTCACCTTGTAGATCAGAGCCGCCAGCTGGTGCACCTCCTCCTTCGGACACTTGTGGTAACCGCGCAGATACTTAGGCAGCTCCTGTGGAGAGAAGACGGTGACTCACGTCCTCCCTAAACTAACACGGGACCCCTCTGGCTTCTTGGAGATACTTGGACTGACGTTGCATGCGTGACAGTACTCACTTGGTAGTAGTGGAAGATGGAGTCAGCCATGGAGTCTTTTCCTGGCACGGTGTTGGTCCACAGCTTCTTCATGAAGAACACCTGATAGGTCAGTGAAGGCACTGCACCTGCATACACAACAAGCACTCAGGGGTCCTTAACAGGAAGATGGAAGAGACACAGTTGTTGGGATTTAAAAGCGAAACGCCCTCCGCACCGTCCTTCACAGTTCTGGCTTTCTTGATCCAGTCGGTCAGGTGCCTGACGAAGTCGAAGAAGAAGTCGCCGTCGGGGACGCTGATGACCTGAAAGACCAGAATCGCACCGTCATGTCCCACTGGTTACTAAACAGAGGCTCACTAGAGTCCACAGGTGGAGGCCGCAGGTCGTCTTCACCTTGTCGGTGATCTTCACAAAGAGACTGAAGCCTTCGGAGGATTTGAGCAGAAGACGTCCTGAGATGTTGTGACAGAAGTCTTTGGCTTTGGTGCTCGACTCCACTTCGAATACCTGCCGACGCAAACGTGCTGCTTAGACGTCAAACACTCTTCCTGCTTCGTTTAGGTTATTCTTCAGTGGTTTTTGACGTATTTCCATGTTTTTCCCATAACGTGATTCTACTGTTTTTTTATGTTCATTTAATGTGTTTCTTTTGTGCTGAATTACTATCAGTGTCAGATATCATCAATGACCGTAGGCTCTGGAATGTAATGAAGCAACGATGCATTTTCTACTTTTCAAGTGCATGATATTTTTCTTTTAAATGTGACACGCGGCCGATCAGAGCCTCGTATACATTATCAATCTCTGCCAATCGCAGTGAGAATATTTTGTTTTCCAGCCGTCACCGACCTCGTCCGAGTCATCGGGGAAGTAAACTTTGTGGAAGATCTGAGTGGTCTTGTGCTGGATGGCCTCCACCTCCACCAGGTGAGGAGGGTACTTTCTTGATCCATTTCTGCAACACGTAATAATAATACTATTAATAATAGTGGAGTAGAGTAGAAAGCGACAAGGAAGGAGAAAGCTGGTGTTACCGTAAGGCTTTCTGCAGCCGCTGCATGCAGTCCGGAGCCAGCTGGTGGTGCTTTTTGGCCTGCAGGAACTTCTGGACGTGAGGCAGGAGGGTGTTACTGGGAGGAAACAAACCAGTGCAAAGCCACAGCAGCTCCCAGCCCTTATCTTCACTGTACCTACACACACACACACACACAAAGATATAACTAAATTCAGTTCTTATGGCATTAAAATGTAATAGTAGTTAGACCAAAACTTGGTGTGTGTGTGTGCGTGCGTGCGTGCGTGCGTGCGCGCATGTGTGTGTGTGTGCTTACTTGATGTGATTGTCAGTCAGCTGCTTGAGAATCTGACAGAAGATTTCGTCTTTGAGCGGCTCGGCCTTCAGGGCTCCTTCGAAGATCTGGTCGGTGAGCTCGTTGACGGAGCGCACCCGTTTGGACGGGTAGTCGCCCATGTACTTCATCACGGGTGGAGCGGCGGTCAAGGGCGTCAACCGACCACGCGACGGGCGGGCGCCTGATTTGTCTGGAGTTTCTTACGTGTGTGAAGATCTTCCTCCACACTTGGCGGGAGGGTTGGAAGAGTTTGGATCTACTTTTCCTTGTTTTGCTTTGTTGATTAATGATTATTCACACATCTATTGGTGTTGCAAATTACAAGCCTGTGTTAGTGACCCTTTCATCTGTGAAAATAATGTGAATTCTTTTAGAGGGAATTGAGAAATTAAAAGTGGAGAATAACAGAAATGCTTTTGGTCTCATCTAGTTTTCTATCTGTGTTACGATTCCACCTATTGTGGCCAATTGGTGATCAATGTGGTCATTGTGCCAAAACGTCTCTCTAACCCGTTCTTAATTCACAGGAGACATAAGTGTTAACTTTTAAAAGTTGATAATATACTCATTAAAAACATACAATAGTAACAGCTGATTCAATGTAGGAATAGGTAGATTAAAACGGGACGTTTAAACGGATTAAAGGATATCTATGAAGGCCAGCACGGCCTCCTGGGAGAGCTCCTCGTGAGCCAGCACTTTCTTCAGCAGAGGCTGCTTGAGAGGCTCCCTGGTGCAGCTCCACAGACGATCCTTCCCCCGGCTCTTCGAGATCATCACCCTGCTCAGAGTGCTCTTGGGAGGAGGCCTGGCAACACGAAGGAAGGGTCAGACATGACGCTTTGCGCGTGTGAAGGATCGGGAAAGCCCACCTGAAGTAGTCGTAGGAGAACTCCTCCAGCGAGTAGGCCTTCGATTTGTCCTCGATGCCCGAGACGCTCGTGTGGGACAAACCGATGGATTCTCGCCTCTGATCGGGAGTCATAGTCACAAGAGCCTGAGATGGAGAAGAAGTACAAAAAAGCATTTAGACAAAAAGCGTCCTCCGGAAATATCTTCATGTAGATTTCTATGAATGCATCAACGACTGAAATGCAAAGTGTTCATTCAAGTTTCCTGTGAGAGTTCCAAGTGTGAAGCGTGGGCGGTGGTTAGCATAGCTTAGAGCAAAGACTGGAGGCGGACGGGAACCAGCCACGCCCACACACGCATTCCAGATGTTGGCTCGCGGCTGTTGTGGTCCCGCTCACCACGATGTCGTACTGCGGCCTGGTGATGGTGGGCACCACGTAGACACAGTCAGCGGGGAAGTCCCCTCTCTGCTTGGTCCTGTCGTTGATGCCGTGAGCCCAGCCGGAGTTCATCACGTGCTCTCCGTCGTGTTCGTCCAGGACGATCAGATCCCCCTTGGAGAAGCTGAGGAATGTGGACTCTACCCCTGCTTTGAAGTAAAAACATTTATTTTAAGACAAGTAAAAAAAAAAAAGTTTATATTTG